TCAGTCACTTGTCCCTGCACACAGAGTCCAGTCCAGCACTTTTCTGCTCCACTGAGAATGTCAGTGAAAACTTCTGACGCAGAACTGGTCTGCAGGGTTGTAATAATGATGACATTTACTCCTGAATATGTCCAAGTGCCAAGGACGCTCACCTGTTTATCATGTTTCCAGACGGTGAGTCCAGAGTCTGCCCTGTCAGACAGGCTCTCCTCCACCCGACTCCCTTCTTTTAGCCTCCGCCTGTTCCGCCCTCACTTCTTTGCTCGACTCCCGGTGCACTTGACCAATCCACTCCAACACTCTCCACTCCACAAAGCTTTGCACTGTCCGCCCTATTCTTCTGGACGCTGTTCTCACTCGCACGCCTCCTCCACACACTGCTGCCCAACCCAGTCACCTGTAGGCTCAGAGATACTCCAAACCACTTCCCGTTCTCCGTCGCTCCTCACCTCACTCTTATCTTGTCCATCACTGTCATTTTCACCTCCCTCACTCCCACTCACTTCCCCTCTCCTGCCCACTTTTATTTCTTTGACTTCCTATAATAAGTCCTCCGCCTGTACCCAACCATTACCAATTTTCTCTGACCCACTATTTGTCATTAGCCCCTTGTCTTTCTCCTCCCCTTTCCTCTTATCCCTCCACTCTCCATCTCTGTCTCTGCCTATCCTCCTTATATATCCTCAGCCTTCGCTTTGCCTTCTCCCCATCTCCAGCGGCATGAATATATTATTATCTACACAATGGGGCCCTGCTTATTGTTTATGAATTACCAGCCTTGCGGCCAAACAAAGCCTATTTTCATAAGAAACCTCCATTTCATTTCAGCTCCAATTAGATTGGGGGCTAAAGAATAGGAGTCCTCAGGCCTCAGCCCCTAAGGATGGCAGGTCCATTCAGCTTCATTCAATGGGGCCTTATTGCTTTCCCATACAAAAGAGCACGTGGACGGGCTTTCAGACTGAAACACCAACCAAAAATGACTGGGAGACAGTACTGTACAATAACAAATCTTTAAAGAAAAGACACTGAGTGCTTATCCTCCCATCCATCAATTCATCCCTCACTCTTCGCTTTCTTCTTTTCCTCTGTTCGTATATTGTGAGACCTGGACATTAATGACAGACAGTTGAAAGAAAAAAAGCGAGTGAAAGAAAGAGAAGAAGAAAGAGGCAGAGCAGCTCAGTTTTTCACAATACATGTCAAGTCTAAATGATCACTGGCTTCTGAATAGACAGAGGGAAGGGAGAAGAAGTGAGTCGTGTGTGTGTGTGAGTGTGTATGCATGTGTGCGTGTGCATCTGATTGATTTGCTGCTTTGAAAAGAGAGAAAAGAGTGAACGAAAAAGAAAAGACCTTGATGCTTTTTCTGAGCTCCACAATAGTCGTGGGGTCTGAGCCGTATTGTGGAGCACCCACAGTGACAAGCTGGCACTCCATCCTGGTTTAGGAAGAAAGAGGCAGCCAGAGAGTGAAGAGGTGCCGGGACAGGTCAGAACCTTGATAACGCACATCTGGCTTCACAGTTCTTGAGCTTCACAACCAGCAGGCAGACACTCGACATGAAGAAAACAACTTTTGAGTTATGTCCAGGAGACGCCATCTGGGAAACATGAAGCCCAGGTAAACTTCTCTGTACAAAGTCAAATGCACCTTTTCAACGTCCCTGTTAATTAACAGGCACCGAACGGTGGTTGGCCAATCACAGACTGTGACGGCCAGACCAGTAAGGTCACAGCACCATGGCGCTGGCCCGGCTTTGTCAGCCAGGATCTGCCACCCGGGATGAATGAGCATCGTGCTTTTGTTTCCAGCAAAGAATATTCTACAGGAAACAAAAGGTAACTGATTTCATTACTAATGAGTGGACAAGGTGAGAGTCACAGTGAAAAGGTTGACATCTGTGCTTATTCATCCAACAGCAGCAAAAAGGGGATCATCTGCCCCCACAAAGCCGGTCACAATAACCAGTCTGCACAATAGACCTCAATACAGCAGCTCGCGCACAAACATACACATTCATGTGGGCTGAAACGGCGATTCAAGTTGAATGCCTTTTTTTTAAAAAGGTCAAAAATGAAGTGCAATCAATATCATCATCATAAAGACGTGGACACACAATAGCTTTTCAATGCAAGGCAGAGTTGGTAGCAGCAGCAATTCTATGACAGAAGTTTTCAAGAAGTGATATTACTTCTGGTAGTACATGCAGTGGAGCTGTATACTATAATAATGTTGTAAAATATTGCTTAGAGACAAGGCTTCAGGTAGTGAGTATCAGCTTTATGTCAAACAGTCAATTCTACACTGTATGTAGAATTATATTTATGTTCTTAAGTGTGTTACGTTGGGGCCCATTGTCATATCAATATCAATGGGGCATAGAGTTCCCGGCACCGCCCCTGGGCACATATGGCCAAAAACAAACAAACATACACACTGTTGTCCGTTTTGGGGAAATGGACTACAAGAAGTCGACTAGACCAACAGTTAGTGTCACAATTTTAAGACATGCTATATGAATAACTTGCAAGGCTTAACATCACAGTGACGTACACTGTCTACTTTAAACCTTTACTGTAACCAGTATTCATTACTCTACAGAAAAACGATGACATGTCAACGGTTTAGCAGCTCTCATAGCAAAACAACTTCACAAAAACAAACACAATGACTGACTTCCGGTATTAACGGACAAACTTTATGTCGATTAATGGGACTGCAGAGACTGTACCAAACTTATAAACTTTATTTTTTCCACACAAATGAAATAAAACTTAGACTCACCCAGAGCAGTGCGTTTTCAGGGATTCACGGCTGTTACTTGCGAGGAAAGTCCTGAATATAATCCAACAGAAATCATGCCGTGACTCCGTCCCAAATACGTCCGTATGTGCAGTATGTTCAAGACGTAAAACAAACAAAACCTACATAATTAATAAAAATAAAACACGTATTTTATCCAAACATTTCCGTAAAATGGCAGCAACAATGTGTCTGACGCAAACAAATTTAAATTTACCCCCTGCCACCACCTTTGGGCGGAGTACTACGTCACAGGTGGTAGAGGTGTGTTCTGTGTAAAGTAACGTTCCCTCACAGCTAGTTAGAAATACTCTGGGCTCTATTTTAAAAGACGCTCTGTTATTAACGAGGTTAAAAAAAACTCACTGTATGGACTACTACCACTGTGGTAACCCAATATAAAGGGACAAGCTGAAGGTGATTTCACTTTCATTGACTGTATGTTAATGATAACTTATTCCATTTTAAACTTTAAACATCAAATTAATGTAAATGTCCACTTCATCATGGGTCATGGAGATTTATTTTGTGCAACTCAAAAAAAAAGTTATTAAACTTTTGGATTAAAAACAAATTTATTTCTCCCAAAGGACAAAGGCTCATCTTTTTGCAGTATTTACAATATACAGTACCAGTTCTTAGCTATACAGTTCCCACCGGAGGCCCCGGAAAGTCAAACTGCCAAGAGGTCAAACAACAGGAAGGACAGAGAAGATTGCTGGCAAGGAAGGAGACCCGACAAAAATAAATTCATAAAAATATTAAATAACATACTAGAGGTGATAAAGCATATGGTTCAAGTTTAGAGATGTCCTTTACAGCCACTGGCGTACGGTTCATGTACTACTGGACATGTCCTGATGGAACAAAGTACACAGAGGGAGACGATCTTTCTCTCTGATTGCCCTGCAGTGGATGAAGTGATCAATAATGAGGGATTTCCTGGTCTTCTTGCTTGTTGTTGAAGGAATGTTACAGTGGTATAGATGGTCAAAGCTGCTCGACATCACATCCAAATGTTTTGTACAACGTCCTGCTCCCACAAACACGTGAATTCATTTCAACAACTCACTTAAGCGGCTCGCTGCTCATCTATTTTCTTAGTGGTAGATGCAGATGACATCACAGATTGGTCTCATCCCATGTTGGATCGTTCATGCTCTTTAAAACCCTCCTCACAACCTTTTCTAGATCCTTCCTAGCTCTCTGTTCTTCCTCCAGTGACCTCTTCATCTTCTTGTTATCCTGTAGTCATGGTACAAATGATACAAATGAGTGTTTCATTGAACTATGGACAGTACTTTTTACTAACTAACTACCTAAACAATACTACATGGATGTTCATTATAAGTCTGTTTTATTATGGTTCATTGACATTCTAAGAAACTCCTGAAAAATTACCTGTTTCAGCTCCTGAACTTCGTCTCTTAGGGCGTACACCACGTCCACTAGGCTCCTTGAACACAACACAATTCAGCATATGAGTGTTTCCAACCAGGATGCTAATCACTAATATTTCAAACTCTGCATCAAATATTTTCGCAAGGTAGCGATTTTATGTGACATACTGTACTACATGACATTTATTATTTATAAAAAATATGTTTGTTATTTCATATGTATTTACTGTAGACCAGCGGACCAGAGTCCACCAGAAGCTAAGATTCACACTTAAAGAATCAGTGGCAAACAGTTAACACCCATCAGTCAGGTTAGGTTGAACCTGTTCAAAGCAGTGTCAATGTAAAATAAAAATTTAAAAAAATATTATAGCAGCTCACTTTTCTTCCACTGCACTCTGTCCATTGCGACTGGGATCGTCCACAAAGACCTTTTCCTCACCAGGGATGATCACATGAAGTCCAGTCTCCTTCCGCACTCCTGGTTAAAAACAGAAAATCACTCAACACTTACTGCACTCAGTTCTGTCTAACCTCCATCAGTACATCACCACCTGCCCTGCAGCAAAGCTACACCAGGGTTGGTTGAAACAGTAGAGCGTTAGTCACGCACAGAGGAAATCAGATAGGAAAGGAAGAGGAAATTAGAAGCTGTGATGATTTCCTGTGTACACAAATCCCCATGTTCCATCAATTTATAATACATGTTTCTCTCACTGAAAACTCAAAACACTTCACACAAACCAGAGAGGATAAAATCTTCAGTTGCTACAAATCATCAGAAAAGCCAGCCTCTACCAAATGACAAGATTTATTCAAAACTCATAATACAGCGTTTGGAACTCCAACACTTCAGCAGTGTAGAACAAATACACCGAAGGCGTCGTTTGCAGATAAGACATGGTCACAGCGATAGAGCACACAGAGAGGACGTTTGTCAACGACAGTCTCTTTTACCCTGCCTGTCCCACAGTTTGACTTCAGTTTGGTAAGTCACAGAATACACCTGTTACAAAGTATAGCACATGAAGTAGGGACATTGATTTTCTCAGATCAAATACTCAGAAGTTGAAGGTAGTATGTTTTCTTATTTTTTTTCCTCGGCCTATGATGAGTAGTATTTACAGAAGGGGAGACTGTGCTCTTCATGTTCCAGTCCACTCTGACAGTATCTGGGGTGGAGTGAATATTTCACATATAATCACGGCATATTTTTTTCCTTTTTCTTTTAAAATTGTTTTTAACCCTCAATGCTTTCAAATACACCGAAGGTGAGCATTTACACTACGAATGAGCATTTACTTTACAGTAACACTGAATACTTAAGTCTACCTTCATCATACACACTCAAGGTAGACGACAAAAAGTACAGATTTGAACAGATTCTAAACCCCCACCCACCCACTCTTCTTTTACATGATTGTGCAAAATAATTCAAACATTTCATGTTATAATTTAAGTGTAAACTTTCATACAGAACAATAACTTTTTTAAAAGGCAGAAACAGAAATGGGTTTATGTTTAAGTTAACATTGGTCAACAAAATATTGTGGAAAAACACAATAAATAGCTTGTGTAAAAAAAATCTAAAATTAAGAATGAAGACATTATTTAAACCACTGTCTCAACTTTAGGCGACATAACCTAAATGTCGCTGACATTGTTTACTATCAGAGGAGATAGACTCTAGGATGCCAAACTGTACTTTAAATACCATCACTGTAAAAATACTTCTTCATAAAAATAGTTATTAATGTGAGATGGTGCAGAAGGCAGCCTCGTAAGTCAGACCAAACAGAGGCAGTCTGGCTTATGAGGCTGTTAGCATAGTTGCTACCTTTTCTGTTTGACGCTATGTGAAAAAACAATTAAATCATTGTTTCAGAAAGATCATCAGAGTAAGGAAGCAATATCACTTTGAAGATAATTGGCTAACAAGAATTAAAACCAAGCTAATTGAATCATTGTTGTGATGCTAAGATAAAGCCAGGAGCCAAAACAATTGCTAGCGTGGTTTATACAACACATTTTCTCTATGTAGCTTTAGTAATGACAATTTAATGTTAACGCCATGTTTGGGTTAGCATCACAAATCAAAAGAGAGCTATTAGCAAACTTTTACATCAGGGAATGCTAATACATGGAAAATCAAAACCAGAAAGGTTGTGCAGTACTCAGATTTGCTACATCTATTTAAAAAATTAAAGTTTTGCAATGTTTGCCTTAGCTGGGTTAGATTATTCTAATCCCTAAATCAATTCAAAGTCTTCCTCAGAAGTTTTCTGGTCTCAAGGTTCTTGTACAGTACAAGTATGTTACATTCTGAGCAAAGCACAACAGTTCTCAGTTGTTACAGGAGTTGATAATGATAATAACTCAGGTACATCGCTCTGTGTATTTGGGGTCTATGAAATGACTAACTTGCTCCTGGCTTCATATGTAACAGTACTTACTGTGATCTTTAATAAGATAGAAAAAATGTATTTCTTCTTAAAAAAACAAACAATAATTTCATCCACACATGTAAGTCAGTTAGTCTATGCTCAGAGCTCTGTGAGGGCACAGCGACTGTTTGTTACCGCAGTATTTTGGCTGGTTTTTAATTTAAAACTTAAATGTTCAACATGGAAAAACAGTGGATGTAACCCTGTGAATCCAGTGAAGCACAGAAACATTACTGTTTGGTTTAAAGGAGACTGCACAACACTGTTAACTAAAGACCAGTTCACTACATCACATTAGTGGTGGTATCTGGTCAGGCTGAGGGAACTTGACCTGGTCGTGCTGTTTCTAATTTAATGGTAATTATTTAGAAGACGAGTGAATCGCTCTCATGTTCTTCACAGCCATGACTCAACAAACACAATGTGTCCTTAATAGAAAACAACAACAGCTCAGGTATTTTGTCTTCATTCCCACATAAACTGCTGACAATCTGGTGAGAACTCCCAGAGTAAAGGTAACATTGTCCTCCGAAAGTTCTCTGAGTTTGCTAGTGTCAGCTCTTGTCGTCACCAGGACGAGGAAAAACAAACTAAACAGACAAAATCAATAAAAACTATCTGCGAGGTCAAACACCACCAGAGTGAGATTAAACAACGTGTATTTTATAACTCATCATTCTTGGTCAGAAAGCTTGTAAAAAGCTGGTCAGTGTAGCACAGACTGAAGTGTGTGTGTGAGACGATCTCCTCTTTCTGTAGCAGCTACAACAGAGAACTGGCTAAATTTCACATAGTACACTAAAGTTAGCAAGAACATTCATGACTCAGCAGTTTTCTGTGTTATTCCAGTGGAGACTGGAAAAAAAAGAATAGAATAAAATGTCAATAGTTTGGACATTACATGTGTGCACCGATTATTTATTACACTTCTGTGTATACCTGAATGTGTTCATCTGTTTGTATGTGTATGTGTAGATTTTAGGATATGTGAGGAAATTTAAATAGTCCCTGTAAGGACCATGTTCTCACAACTGTCGGGCTGTATGGACACTGCACATTTAGGGCAAGGGTTAAAAATGAAATACATGTGCGAGGCTAGTTTTGGTGGTGATTTTGGTCCAAAGTTTGTAGTTTAGTACTAATTAATAACATCAATGGAAATTTCCCTCAAAAGTTTATGGTCCTCATTACTAGTTCTGGACCATCTGGCCGACTGTGTCCTTACTTTGTTGTCTCTGTATTCAGAAAAGAAGTGCGAAAGACTGGCTTAGTATACCAGTAAGTTGCAGAGGAGATAAAAGACGTCCTGTGGGATTTTTTCTTTTTTTTTTTTTGCTGCATGTCTCTGCATTCCAGGAGGGACAAACTGATTTTGTGCCTTCATTGATGCCTGCTATTTATAGCTTTGGACTTTAGGAAGTTTGCTTCCGCTTTACTGGTGGGAAGACTTTATGGTTTGACAACAGAATTACAATTCAAACTGAACCCATGGACTATTTGTACAAAAATAAAACCTGAAATGACAAATTAAAGTGAGTAGCCTTCGATTCCTGTAGACTGAATCTTGACCAAATCACTTCTGAAACCAGCCAAGCACTGATGCTCTTCCATGACTTTACTTGTGCAAACGTGTTACTGCAACTAATTTACTGTGATAATGAAGGGCGACAGTCGGGCGTGTGGTTGAGGGAATGGACTGCGTCGGTAAGGGTCCTCACAACTAATGTGAGGCAGTAGTGTGTGTCATGTGTGGCATCTGTGCTATGTTTGAGCTTACATACTTTAAAATCACATACTAGAGACAAGGAGTATGTGGTAAAAACAATACACTCCATCCTGAAATTGCATCTGAATATCAGACAGGAAAAGCTCAGTCCCCATCTCTCCCTCCCTCCCTCCCCCGGATTCCCACTCCGACTTCCTGTTTTCCTCTGCCGCGAGTTTTCCCCGCATCAATGTTCAGACAGGGGGGAGTGGTCACATTCAAGATAAATTAACAAGAATTACTTAACACTCACTGCATGACAACTACAGAAAGAGAGGAGGCACATAAAAGGGAAAGTGGCAAAGGCAACAGGGAGATGCTTCCAACATCTTTCAAACATTAAAAATATAAATTAAACCAAATAATTTAACAAAAGCTTTACAAATAAAATAGAAAATAAATACATACATTTAAAAAAAACCTAGTTTAGTTAAATACACCAAAGGTTAAAAGAGGTAAATGTGCCGTTACGTTACGTTACAGCACAGCACAGCGTGGCAGCACTGAACGTTCTTTAGTTCTGGTGGGAGATGCAGCTCTTGCGCGGCACTGAGCCCATCCTGTAACTGTGGCTGGTCCAGATGGAGTCATAGTCAGAGTCCTCAGAGAGGTCAGAGCTCAACTCTGGCCGGGACACACTGCTGCGACGGCCTGACGACTCTGCACAGGACCGGTCCACGTCGGCCAGAACGTGGTTGTGCATCAGGTCGGTGCCCTGCCAGGCTGATGGAGGTAGGGCCGATCGAGGTGGAGGTGAATTAAATTAAAATGGAGGATGGGGAGGGTGCAGTGACCCGCAGCAAATGGTAAAATCATAAAACCAATGGACGGGGTGCATGATGGGATGGAATATGTAAAGAAATATATGCAGTATGGAGAGCAGAAAAATGTTCATAAAAATGAGGCAAAAGAAGAAAAATAAAGTTCGGCAAAGTCGTGTCAAAGAGTGGAGGAGAGACAGAAAGAAGAAAATATACTGTTAGAGAAGATCAGCCCAGAATAACAGTGTTAAAGACAGACAGAGTCACAGGTACAGTCATTATAAAGACAGTAGGAAGTAGCAGGAGGTTACACCTATACCATAATGATCCCTGTACTTCTCCAAACCTCTTACTGGATTCAAACATAAGTACCAACAACAGCCTGAAGCAAACTGACTTTGTAATTGGGTTCTACAAACTACACATTTTCACTACATAATTCTATATNTATATATATACAGTACATATAGATAATTTTGTTTTAAGAAAAAGTGACCACACCGAATAATTATAGGAGTCTTAAAATGGGACGAGTGACAAAAGACTACCTTTTGTTTAAGATAAAAGTGAGACAAATGAGTCCCCAGCCCTGGTCTGTGGGTCATTTGGTACCAGCGATTTAAAGAATCCAGTCAATTTCATTTATTTTCTTCATATAACGATAACACAGCAATAGCAGCAACTGCACTTTCACAGTCTTTCTCTAAAATCTTTTTACCTCTCTCTCACCATCACACAGAAATCCAAACGACACAGGTGTCAGGACCTGAGACCTCTGCCTGTTAAAATCGGAACCTTATTTCTGACAGCATGATGCCGTCTGACTGTTTTCTCTTACACCTTACAGCACAAACGAGAAACTATTGTGTGTTTTCTTACTGGAGTTGAGAGTCTGTCTGGTTTTGGCACTGGTGCAGTAAGCCTCAATGACTTTCAGGATCTGGGCATCTTCTTCCAGAGCAGCAGTACCTGAGAGAGAGAGAGGCCAGAGAAATAAAACATCTACTCCAGGCAGTGCCTTTTATTTTACTTCCTGGTTACTTTACCATGTACTGCATATCTTAGGCAATAAGAAATGTTCACCCAGTGGAAACTTACTCATTCTGTGATTTCAATTGTTTATAGTTTGTTTGGCTTTAGCCTGTGATTTCAATTGTTTATAGTTTGTTATGTTATGACAGTTGGAAAAAAGGTTATATATTATAATTCATTTCTTCTTCTTCTTCTTCTTCATAAACTAAAACAATTGTTTGACGTATACACAAAGTCCATAAATCAACTATGTGTTGGTTTGGAGGAGAGTGAGCCTTATCTTCATTGCAATTACTGAATGACATATGTAATATTTTATCAGGGGTTGTGTTAAAATGAACATGTGTGCATAGAAAAGAAAGCATTTCTGGACGTACTCTTCCTCACGGCAAATTCCTCCTCAGACTGTTTTCTCTCAGGCTTACGCTTAGGAAGAAGTTTCTTCACACTTTTGGGACTTTTACTGAGATCCTGCAAAAGAGAACATTTCATTTGATTTTATATTTCCATGGAAGGGAAATATGCTAAGGTGTGACTGCAATGATGTCTGAATATAGATTTAACCTCAGTATACAGTATTGCACATGCTAATGTAAAGTTGTAGAATATTTGATGTCATGAGGATACTGCACATTGACAACAGGTCAGTTCACCTCCTTGTAGCAGAGGGCAGCAGAGGGCCGTAGGGGAGGTGCAGGTCGTAAACAGCTGAGACTCCAAGGTTTGGGTGTGTTGGGTGGTTCCAGTGGACCCCACATCATAGTGCTATGGGTGGTTCCATGTGAGGACGGGTGAGGAAGGGTGTGGTACGTGGGGGCCACGGTCATGGCCCGGCTCTCAGCGTGACGAGACGGGGTCAGAGGATGAGAGGGGAGCTGAAAAAGATAAATAAATGCAGAATAATGTTTACTACACGATTAGACACTAACTCACTTTGTTGCTTTTGTGTCTGCTGCTGACCGTGTGGCAGGGGACACTGATGGGTTTGTGGCTGGGCGCAGTAGCTGTGGTGTGTTTGATCTGTCTGCTCAGATGTTCCACCCAGTCCTGCAGGTCCTGTTGGTTGTTGCAAACCACGTGTAGACGTTCAAACAGCGCACCTGACGAAAGACAGACCAGGTGAGTAGAGAGTTGAACCTGATGAAATGCATTATGGTTCTCACTCATCTCTGTCTCACCATTCAGCTCAAAAGCATTTTTCTGGGCCTCACAGTCTTCTAGCTTGTTCACCACCATACTGCTCACTGGTAGTTTACCCTGAAGACAGAAAACAGTGACAAATCAGAAAAATGAACCAAGAAATTTAAACTAACCTCCTACATATAAAAAACACATCTTGAAGTCTTTCTTAATAGCCGACCTGAAAGATGAAGCCGCTCATCCTTGGGCTGGCAGACAACATGAGGAGGACGTGAGGAAACAACATGAGGTAACGCTCGTTCTTCTCCTGACAAAAAACATGGTTTACAAAACAGTCAATGGTCGAGGTATGGTATACTGTTATTACAGCTCAGTAACACTGAAGTTAGGAGTTGATGAAATGAGCCGACGATGCTCGCACCTCAGAACCAGGACTCTGGACTAAGACCTGGCTCATGTAGAGCACAGAGCCCAGAGTCTTGATGTCGTCTCCCTCCCACAGCCTGATGGTCTCTGTGAGAATCTGCAGCTCAAGCTCCTTACGCTTCCTCACCTCTTGGCACTGAGCCTGGAAACAAAGGGAGGTAAAACGCCTGCTTAATTAAGGGCTGCTATAAATTCACTCTCTCTATATATAAAACCTTACAACACAGGAAAGATGTTCTGCTTACAGAGAGACTTTTGAATGACGTCATGCATTTCTGGATGTCTGGTCTGTCAGGATAAGACTCCTACAGAAGAAACAGGGAACTTTAATCACACACACACACCTTATAGCATAGAATACATTCAAATGAACACTGATGTTAATACACAAACACCCACCTCCATGTGTCTCTCCAGCTCTTTGAGTAAAGTGGGGTATTTGTCAATTCTCATGAAGGGTTTACTGAGACCTGTGGTCAGGGTGAGGATCCCTGGAGTGACCGCGCCCCTGCCCTCCATAAACTCCCCCAGAACCTCACTGCAGGAGATGGAAAAGAAAAAAGGAAGGCAAAAAAGATGAAGGAACACAGTGAATTATTAATGTAGGTTATCATGCAACCTTGGTGCTCTGCTATGAATTTGAATGTTCTCAAAGACTTCACCGTTTAGCCTGTTTAATGTTATATATATATTTTAACCCTACAAGCGGTGGTTTCCAGAGTAGAAGCTGTGGCAACCACACAGGGCATGAATAACTGGGGAGCAGCAAAAGAAATAAATACCAATTTTAATATTTCCTTTATTTGCGAGCCTGTGAGAAAATAGTGATTTTCAATGTTGGTTTGGTTGGTTTGTTTTTAAAAAAAAGGAAACCTTTGAAAAACAAAACAAAAAAAAACGTTGAGAACCAGTGATTTGAATGAACTTATTCAGAAAATGTATCCAGATACATCCATCTTCTCTGAGTTATACTAGTGCCTCAGCAGCCAAAAACCAAACCCAGCTCTATTGGATGAGGTTAAATACACAGCTGCTCATTGTGCTGTTGCAGCTGCTGGTGTTGGGTTTGTTAAGCATCAACACATCAGCTGCAATGACTATTTTCTGGCCCTGGTTTTGCTGTAGTCTTTGTGGTGTATACACAGTGGACGGGTGTCAGGTTGAGGTAGATTCATATTTTAAAATGGTCTAAAAGTGGGCTGTAGTTTGGGATGTTTTTCTGATTTCCTGCTGTGCTTACATCAAATTAATCATAACTCATATTTATAAATCTTCAGAGACATTTGTTCTTACATTCTCCCTCTTTCATTTGGATTTTAATTAATTTTCTGCTGTTGTTCCAGGCTGCAAAGAAGGCATTGTGTCTACTGTGACGAGGTACAATAGGTGCTACAGTCAGCAAACAGCGGGTAAAAAAAAACAGCTGCTAAACAAAGATGAATTCCCTCCAGTTCAACCATACAATTTGTCAAACGTTTTTCAAAGAGACCAGTTTTGCTGTTCAGTAATTCAAGACGTTGAAGCCCAGACCCAAACCCCTTTATACCCACTCTAACTGCACTGAGTGTTTCTCATAAAAACATAATATAATATGTTTTTTAAAAATAATAAACATGATCCATGCGATGCCCTGAGCACTGTACTGTAGCACAGATAGTAAGTAGTTGTTACAAAACACGTACAGTAAGTGGAATTATAGTAATGATCTTGGTAAGATCTCTAATATACTTGACGTGACTCATGTATTTAATAATAACAATAATTAATAACTGAGTCCTTGACTTTTCTGTCCCTACAAATCAGAACTCACATACTGTACATAAGTACCTCTGTCACACAAGAGGAGGGACAATGTTTGGATCTGGGCCTTTGTGTATCTCCTCTGTTCACGTACCTGTGCTGTGTGAGCACATTCACCGCACAAGGATGGTTGGAGCAGTAACTGACATACAGAGCTTTCATCTGTGGCATGAGGTTGAGGAAAAAGCCCCCGACCTTCTGCTGAATTTCTGGAAGCCTGAAAATAAAAAAATAATGAAGAAAGCTCAGTGAAAATATTCTGCAGCACAGAGAAAAAAAAACACATTGGAAGAGAATGTTTATATAAAAGAGAATTCTGAGATTTCTGCTGTAGTACTTAAAAGGAACACCGGGTGTCTCCCTGCTTATTATAAAACTGTTGACAGTGTTGTTGCTTCTGCAGTGGTCATGTGGGCAGGGACACACTCACTTGGTGCACTCCTCCAGTGACTGGACGAGCATCTGCTGGAATGTGCTGATCTCCTCCAGGTTCCCCAGGATCAGAGCCACATCTGAGCTGCTGAGTCTAATGATAACAATGTAAAATGATGACTATGGGAACAATGACATGAACCCCAGATGTGATCTTGACTTGTTTGTAGAAAACTCCTACTTGTCAATGTTCTGAAGTGGTCGTAGGTAGTTGGTCAAGAGACACTGAAGGTCCTTGGAATATTCTGTCTCTGTTTCTAAGATGTTTTGCAGCACCTGGACAAAACGGTGAAAAACAGTAACATTAGGGTCTTTTTTGTGTGTTATGGCTGGCACTACACGATGTATATTCCAAAGCGAATTATACGTGACAAAGATACACGATATCAGCTATGGCCACAGGAGGGCAATGTAAAACTGAACACTGCTACTGCACCACTGAACATTGGCAGGATTTAAATATAGACTTTTTTGAAGCCATAAAACGTTTCTACTTTCATAAAGACTTCCATAAACAACACAGATTAAATGTGACCAAGTAAAGCTGTGCTGCAGAAACTGCACATCATAAAGTATGCCACCATAAACAGTAACATCAGAAAGGAAACTGACAGACTAACTGGAACTGATGCTAATTCAGACGGCAGCCTAGCAGAAGGGGAAAAAACACTACATGTTCCTCTGGAGTCGGTATAATTGTTTAGAAACAACACAGAGGATGAAGAACTATATGTTTTTCATACTCTCAAACAGAATAAAGTCTGAGAGATGTTTTATTTTGAGACTTTACCATTCTGTAGGTTAGCTATTGATACTTCAGACTGTTGTGTAAATGAGTTACACGGCTATTGTTTTTGAATTATAAATAAATGCAACCGATAGACCAGTGTAATGTATATATGTAGCGACCTCTAGGAAAATATAGTCCCTGTGTTCTTACCAAGTTATAGTAGGTCTTGCTGATGGCAGATGTGTCGAAGCCTTTGGGAGGACTCTTAAGGGTGCCAGACTTTGGAGACACTTGCTTGTCTGAGATCAGAAAAAAAAATAGTTGAATGTAGAACATATAATACTCTTTAATAAGGTAACTGATGTGGACAATGAGAGAAAATTGATACTTCTTGCACCATATACTGTATACCTGTCGGTAAACATTGTATTTTCTTAAAGTACCTCACCTGTGCCTTTGATTTCACGGACATAATTACTGGGGAACCAGCCAGTCCTGCCACTGAACATGCCTTCCCACCAGCCGCCATCCTCCTGGCGAGTCACGCTGATGATGTCACCTTTGTTGAAGGTGAGCTCATCCTCGTTGGTTTGCTGGAAGTTGAACCGTGCCTTCACCAGCAGCTGCTGTCCACTGTTCTCTGACATGTCCTGTCATGATGGAGGAGTGGAGCAGGATATGAATCAACAGGATATGAATCATTTGCATATGAAATTGTTCCGCCAAGTCAATGTTTAATGCACTTTATGAAAGCATGCTTGAGCAATTATAATTATATTTTCACCCAACCTGAGCTGGATTGAATAGTTTTATATTGACTGTTATCTGCAAACTTTGATGACTATGATCTGGAGCCAATCCTAGCTGTCAACGGACAAGGGTGGGGTACAACCAGGACAATTCACCAGGTCACCATTGCAGGGCCACATATAGAGACAAACAACCATTCACGCTTGTATTCACAAATATGGTCAACCTAGAGTGACCAATTTTAACCCCAATGAGCATGTTTTAACAGTTTAGTTTAGTTTTTTGCGAATAACCTGGAGGAAACTCACACAAACACAGGGAAGTGGGGAGCCAAAGACCTTCTTGCTATAAAGGTAAGTATTTTAACAACATATATTCACTGCTTGGCCTAAACTAGAATTTTATTTTAAGGAAACCAAATGCATGTTAGGCTCCTTTGGGCCACATAAACTGATATGGAAGATCAAAACCGGTCCACAGTAATAAGTTTGTTTTAACTTTGAGGATGTATATGAGTTTCTACACAGTGTTGTCTCATACAGCAGCGTTAAAACAATAAGAGTTCATGTTGAAAATGAGCTGGAGTGAGCGTTGGTACTTACCAGACTGCGAAACTGGTTCTGCAGCAGCTTGGAGGATCGACCCAGAGAAGCCTGAGAAGATAGTGAGTCAAATGACTTGATGCGGTGGGCGGATGAGTGTCGGGCACACACCGAGTCGCTGCCCACGCCGATATCTGGACAGAGAAAATGAGGCTATAATTACACCAGAACTGGTATTTGCAGTTAATGCCCACACACCTGAATGTCATTCATATTAAACACCCCCGCCCCCACTCATATTTTCACTAACCTGCTGTCACTTTGTTCAGTGCAACCAGACAGCTCAACACCTTGGAGAAGTTCAGCCCCAGCAGCAGGTCACTGGCCTCGAACGGCTGTGGGTCAAAGAAGAGGGAGAGAAAGTCACGTCGGTGAGTTCCAGACAGTCTTCTGCACATTTCCTCTTACAGCTAACTGCTAAATCCAGCACAGCAGGTTTTTGTCATCTCTTGGCCATGCTGCAAGTGCTGCACAGTAAATCAATACCACTCAATATGGTTGACAGAAGTAGCCGAGGAAACACACAACTTCAGCAAAAACAACTTCTGCTGACACAGGGTTCTTAAAAAAAACAAAAAAAAAAAAAAAACAAACATTAAACTGACTGAAGATTTAAGAGGGTTTTTCAGCAGAAAATGAATACATCCCGCAAAAGGTGTAGGAAAGTTTGCTAAGATGCAAAACTGCTCATCATAAAAACATAAAGACACATCCTTATTTGTGCAAAGGGTTCCTTGGTTTACAACGCCCTCGACCTACGGCGTTTCATGGTTCAGTCGCAATCTTCCATAAATGTATTAATTAAGTCTTGTTTCATTATTCTGATGTACAATGTTAAATTTACCAACTGGCGAGTGGAGTGGACGAATATATCATCACACGGTTGTATATGCTGAAGACATCTCTGTTTCCATTCACTGGTTGTACGCAGTACATTGGATTGTGCTACATTTACTTTCTTTCTTTTCTCACCATGAATCCCACGCTTTTTATGTCTTAGGTTATGTTACGTAGGTGAGTGACAAGAGTACTTATCATTTTAAATCTGAATCATTTTCTATTAGTATATTATTTGGTGAGATGTTACCAGAGCTGATGATCTTTAGAAAATTAGCAGAAAAGCCAGTGGCAGCACAGTTGGATGGTGTGACACTTAGGTTCTGCTTTTGTAAATGAAATAATAATGGTTAGAAAAGTGCAGCCACAAATTGTATGCATGTATGGTCAGTTTAAAAACTGAACCTTTAGATGTGAATTTAATATAAATAATTAACAGAACTTCCTCCTGGTATTTCAAAACAATACCATGCCAGGTGTTTGCAAGAAGAAGTACCTGTTATTCTAGCTACATTGGTCTGTCTATCCATCCATCCATCCATCCATCTATCCATCCATCCATCCATCCATCTATCCATCCATCCATCCATCCATCCACTGCTCCAGTTAATCTGAGTCTAAGTGAATGTGAGCTACGACTCTTCCATCTACCTCTCCAGTTGTAGATTTACCCCTGAGGGAGATGGCAATGAATGCCAGTGAGTGTTAGCATTAGAAGAGATGAGTGTACATGTTATTGTGTAAGTGAGGACAAGCCATGAAAGTCACTGTCCTTGGTGAGTGTTCAAAGGAAATCGCCCTCTTCCTCACACATCCATACTTGAGACAGAAACCATGCACACGTATGTGTGTATGGATCTACTGAAATGTGTAGTTTTGCTTAAGAAATACTTCATAAAGTATGTAAAATAACTAAAGCTAAAAAATGTAATCTAGTAAGAGCTTTTGTAATTAACAAATAATGTTTTGTTTTTTTAAAATCAAACAGCAAATGCTTATACCTTGTTTTTTATGTTAAAAACTTTAAACTTTTGTTTTAAAAAGTTACCTAAAATAATTTCAGTTATGTTCTGGAAAAAAATACAATGTGGAATTAAAAAAATATATAAAGTAAAAAATGTAAAACTCAATAAAATGAATGCTCGGGTTAAGCAGATTTAGCCAAATCTAACCAAAAGATATATTTTTTAAAAAGTAATTTCTTAGTTTAGAAACAGCTAAATGCCAGAAATAAGGCAAATACAGGTTAAAGTTTGGGTTAACTCAAGAGCATTTATCCTATAGGAACCCAGGACTTTTCTGCACATAAGACAGATGTGCGTATGTATTACCACTACACCATAGATCCACGATAGGAAAATTCAAAGCACTATAGAAGCCTGAACGTCATTCCTGGTTCCTCCAACCATCAATCTGTGAAGATACACAGACTTGCAGCCAGACAACGATGCACAACACTGAACTGTTACTGTAAGGTGCACAAAGTTCAATGTTGACTCTTTAACCATCTCCCACGATGCCTGGTAATGTCATCTTAATGGCTTCCATGACACATTTCTTTAAATGTCATCTTAATGGCTTCCATGACACATCTCTTTAAACAGCGAAACACAGTGCACATTAAGTATTCATGCGGGCAAATAATGAACATGACTAACATGACAAGCTGAAACATGTCTGCTGTGCCTCAGCATCACAGCCAGGTAATGATCCCTCACAGTACAGTGGTGTAAGAAGCCTGTGTGACTCAGCACGCTAACACAACAGCAGCAGAACACATTGCTTCACAGCTTTTACCACTGACGAAACGACTGTTTACCTGTCCACGGTGTAACAAACAACTATAACATGTGCACTACAGTTAGTGGGCTGTGGTCCACACGTCACTCCAGAGATTACTCAAGGCTGCAGTGAATGAGTTTGGGTGATTTGTGTTGTTAATATTATGGCTCTCTCGCGTTGTGGTTAGACACGTTATTGTACAAAAGTGACGTGCATCAGAAAATGTACTCTGTCAATTAAAATTTACTATCAAATATGACCGGGACTGTGACTGTAAGACAGAACGAATAAGAAAATACCAAAGTCCCACCTGTATTATTAGTGTCCCTATCCAAACCCATACCTGTTGAAACTTAGGTTTCAGATCAGACTTTGTTGGTGCAGGTTTTCAGACATGTAGGTGACCAGTTATCTACTGGTCAGGAAGTAAATATATAACTCCCAGATCACAGGATTAACTTGACAGATTATCAACAACAGCTTTTAAATTCTCTGTTGTCTGGACATTCGTACCCATATCTGAAATCCAACGTATGTACTGTGAAACTTACACAACAAATAAACTAGGTCGGGACTGATCTGTAAGCAATGAGAGAGAGTAAGGTTACTGTTCCACGGGGAGCTCTGAGGTCATGGGAATTCTAATGATTACTTCCTCTGGTCAAAGGTATCAGAGGTTAAGGGTCAGAGCCAGCAGCTGCCTTTAGGTTTCTGACACAGAATAATTAGATCTGAAGTGAAAACAGAGCCGTTGAGAAACGGCAAAGCCTTCTGGGTTAAACATTTTACTCATCTCAGTTAGAAACAGCTTGTCAGCACTACAGATGTACATCATCAATCCAAGTGTCTTTCACATGTAAACAGTCCTCTGCTCTAATCTGCAGCCACAACTAGCAGGGTCAGAGCCAGTAGTGTTTAGAGCACTGGAGAGGATCCATATACAGATGGTAGGTGGGAGGGTTGCCATGTCCAAACAATACTGCTCTGTCTAATTTACAACAAAAAAAAAACCCTTCATATACAAACAACCTTGACTCTATAGATTTTTACAAGAGGTGTGTGGTAGTTAGGGAATGACATCATAGTTTCCTGATATCGGCCGATTATGATGTCCCACGTTAAGTGTTTTCAAGAAATGTTTCCAGTAATACTGAATGAAAACTGTCTATTATAACTCTGGACCACAGACTACCATTTAACTGCTAAAATCACTACTTTGTTTGTTTGTTTTACAATTCCAACATGACAGGAATTTCAGCCAGAACAATGTCCAGACTTCAAAAGACGAAAACTGTGAATACATGACATGAACTTGATTAGTTTTGGTGGTCTTACCATGACATGTCTCCGCAGAGAGTCACAACAAACAAGTCTTTTAAAAACTCATCATCATGAATGTTTTGTCCATCTCTGGCCTCTCAGCTGCCTGTTAGCACTGAATGGCATGTTTGACACACACTCAGGGTGACAGTCTCGTCCTATCTCCAGCTCTTTTGCGCTGGCTGGAAAGTCCAAGGCAAAGAGCGAGGCAAAGCTGAAGAACACTGAGTTTCATTGTCAGAAGACAGTGCCTTCAATGACCCCTCTATGTACTGGTTAACACAGCCTTAACCCCTTACTGCAGGCCGTCTGCCATTTGCTGAAGAGTATAAGAGTTTTCCCCTAAACTTGAAATGTCCAATTCCAAAAGATGGATGAGGTCTCCATCTGTGGACATGTTAGTCTTTACTGGTTATTGTAATGACACTCTAATTATCATGTTAGGACAAACATTTACAACATAACATACATAGCTGTGGTCTAGTACTGTCCACAGCTGCAGTACTGATGTTTTTAAGATTGAAAAATTCCACAAACCAAGATCAGACCAATGTATTGTATCTATCATTACTGAAATATTTTGATTGGGTTTCTCCACCCTGCCAAGGACAAAGATTTTCAGTGTCTTACTTCGTCAAAAAACAAAACAAAAGAATAAAAACCTAACCAAAGGAATTATTTTCATCAGTATTGACCTGGAATGTGTGGTCTTTGTGTAAGATGCTTAATGTTGGTGTCATTTCAATATTTGGTGTCTTCAGATGACACAGGGAAGAATATGTATAGAAAGAAGTTCGGTAGACACAAAAAGTTATACAACTAGAATTAAAACATTTAACTACAAACAAACTACTTTGCAAAATATTCTTGGAACTGTCACCGTGATGGAAACGTATGGAGCTACTGAAAGCAACAAAACACATAGTGGTGGATTATGGATGGATTATAGCAGCCAAAGTTACTGGTAGTGTTCTGCTTTTCACAGGCAAGACAAGAGGCTGTTGTTGTTTACACTCTGCTTTTAGCCTGTTAATCTAACCATTGCCAAAACTACTAGTTAATAAAACTTTTTTCCTAAACTGATATAACCGACAATAAGTAATACAAGAACAATAAAATAAATAATGTAATAACATAGTAAAAAAAACAGCAAAATCACCATTGCAGATAGTGGAATTTGTTTTGGAGATTTTGTGGAATTAAAGGAAGCTCTTTTATCTGCTGAAAATGTTTTTGTTTCTTTGCTTCCTCCCTGACAGGAAGTGGATTGTCTTAATGGACAAAACCAACACAATTGAGGTCATTGTTTAGGTTTTTTTTTCTTAAAGATACAAATTACACTTTCTGTAATTTATGGATCAAACAAGTAGTCATATAAGAAAAACAATTGTCATGGTTTTATCTACCAAAGCCATTGTTAATAACAAGCACTTTTGTTTACAATATTACGAGGTGAACAAACATCATTACTGGGCTTTGACTTTCCAATACAGTGTGACATTTCTATCAGTTGGTGTCTCTGGAGGTTTTTACAGTTAAATCAATCGTAAAACCACAAGGCGGACAAGGAAAGATGCGTATGCCGAGAGATGGGTGATTGTTCTCGGCTGTTACAGTCCACACCTCCTCCTCCTCCACCTCCCTCTTTATGGAGCCCTTCTCCAACCACCATTGTTTGCGGTGGCAGCCCTTCTCTTCACACATAAACTACACATCTCCACACAGCAAATGAGAATACGTGTGTATGAAAACACAATTATAGAACACGAGCAAAAATAGGGATATAGAAAGTGAAAAAAACCTCACCTCGACGCGGAACGATGTACAGCCCTTGAGAAACTCCTTTATGTTGTTCAAACACTCGCCGTCGTTTTTCGGTTCCTGGTATATCTGTAGATACGAGGGGGGAAATGCCGTCTTAGAAATGAACGCCTCCGTTGCAGGTGTTTTTCGCCCTCACTTCGCAGCTGTGTGCACATTTATTGGACCGACTATGGTCTATTCTCCTCCGACACACACATTGTGCAGCCGAGCTTTTAACTGGGCCTGTGTGACACTGACGGAGGGTGAACACTACAATCCTGCAGCGCAGGGAAGTGGAGTCTTCGGTGTTGGCTCAACAGGAAGTTACGTCAATCGATAAGGTTCCTTAGCTGTAGCTAGTAGCAACAGCAGCCTATAGGCTAATCACCTAGGGGTTTTTTTATATTAAAGTATATTTCGTGAGAAAATCTGTGAGAAAATATTAATATAAACATCAAAAAAATTAAACATGAATTTCTGATAAATATTGTAGTAGAAAAATGTATACATAAAACTATAGATTTATAAACTACTGTAAATACGAATTGACATGGTCATTTAAAGCCTCAATGAATCCCTGGAAAAAGCTAAGCTTTCTCTTTTTCAAGTAACTTTTGGAAGTCTGTTTAAAATATGGCTTATTGATTTTGCAGGTCTATATTGTATAACATGAAGTTTCTTTTACAATTTGAACAATTACATTAAATTTGCAGAGAAAAAGGAGAGTGACAGGTTGCTGTGATTGGTGTGTGTAGGTGGTTAATACTGTATGCTCACAGAATAAACTTTAATTCCTTTTGGGTGTGAACTATAGACTGTAAACGAGATTTTTTTTAAAGGTACCTCTGTTACAGTCTATAACTGCAGAGTGAAGCCCATGAAGAAGATCTGAGTAAAGTAAAGTAAAGTAAAGCCTCATTTTGCACAGGGCTGTGAAATCTACGAAAAACACACATGGTCTCAACTGCCAATTACACGTCAGTTATTCACTGACTTCAAAATGTAAGAAATATTTATCAATGGTGCATGTTTCAATCACCTGCAAATCTATTTGCCCTCCTATTGACACAACAATATGTGTCAAGATAAATCTCTGTTCTCTAAAAATGTGACCACACAAAGCAAACATCGCAGGACAAAGAACTGACAGGACAATTACTGATGTAACTGATTGAAGGAGATATAGCCTCTTTCTACGATGACTTGTATGCACGCTACTTTATAATTTCTGAGCTACATAAATTTGTGCGAATAAGTCAAACGTTCCAAATGTAAAAATACAAACTTTCCCTTTAACGCTCATGCTGCTAGTGAAGGCCACCAAATATGTGCTGCTCCTTTAAATGCAGGAAGGGTTCTCTCTGTCAGTGGGCCTTTGCAGTCAATGGCGGCTAAGATCCATTCGTATGTGTGTGTGTGTGGGCGCGCGTGTGTGTGTACAGATGTCCAGTCATCCCTCACTGATCACAACACTGTACTCTGCTATGCATCATTACAATAGATAATAAACAAGCAGCATGGATCGACTCTGATTAAAAAGGCGTTTTAGATCAAATATTGTACAAGATCTGTAACAGCATTGAAATCCACTTCAACAGAGCATTGAACATAATTCATATAATAATTATGATCATTTTCAACCATGGAAGCACATACTGTAGCTCAGTTAAAGGCCGATAATTAGATAAGTACGTTGTCATTTTGTAATATTGCTACCCTTACTGAAGCCTATCAACGCACCCTCACTGTTTTTGTCTGACACACGTAATGTGCCACTACATTCTGGCGTTGTTTTCACAGACAATAACCCGGCCTGCCGTGACCTACAAAAGAAATCGCCTCACGGACCAGTGGGTAAAAAGAGAAGCCAGACAGCGGAGACACAGCGTCGGTTTAACGCCATGGATCGGGGGGAGGAAGCGGCGTGCAGCGCGCGGCCGCAGCATCCACAGCAACAGAAGACAGAGGTTGTTTTGGGGGATTTTTTTGCTCTTACTTTCTCCGTGGATCCGGGGCTGAGTCGCTCCAGCAGCCTGCAAAGAACCACGCCATCTTTCAGGGAGCTCTGCAGAAACGCTTCGGGGTCCGAGATGGTCTTTTTGGGTGACTCTAGCACCCCGAGCGTGATGAGCCATGTAACCGTCTGTTCCGCCGAATTCATGTCCAGCTACAACAGATCCGATCCAACAAAGCGGCTGTTGCTGCTGCTGCTGCTGCTGCTGTGTTTGGGGTTTGGCCCTGTTTACGCTGTCATCATCTGTGCCATATAGATGAGAAACATCTTTAGATCTGAAGGGAAAACGACGATGGAAAAGATGAAGGCGACGGTGCTGATGATGCTGCAGGATGGATGCGGAGGAAGAAGGTGATGATGGTGACGGCTGCTGGAAATTCAGCAGGTCTGGTTTCCTCCCCAAAGTGCGAGTGCGTGTGAGTGTGCGTGCATATGTGTGTGTGCGTGTACCTGGCAGGCTGTCAGTATCGATGCGCTTCGCCGTGATGAGTTCAGACCGTAGGCTGCACGGACGGACGTATGTGTGCGCGTCGTAGCCCCCTGTCAGCAGCAGCCACTCATTCGTTGGATGACATCACAGCACACGGACAACGACACAGTCCAACCAGTTGTTAGGGCAGTTGACAGCCGGGCATGAATAGGCTCTGTGTGCGTGGATTTGTATGTCCAGCCTTCCCAAGTTCAATTATCTCGTTATCCACGTATCTCTATTCAAAACAAGAGGAGGAAACAGTTGAGCAAGCATCAACAGCATCATGCATAACCAATATGAAATCATAAATACGATAAGAGGATTAGAAGAGAATAATACATATGATACAACACGAAAACAAATAGTACAAACAGATAAACGATAATGATGTACCCTGTATGAAATAAAACATTGAATCTGTGGATTATTTATGTACTTTCCATGTCAATGTTATCTGAGAGTACCTTAGTTTGGACAAGACCTAGATCTAGTAAACTGAGCTTGGATAACATCACATCTAGTTCGCAGTAGTCCAAGTCATCTTCTGGATCGACTGTTCGTTGAATAGATAAGTCCCTACATCCAAAGTCAGCACCAGTTGTCACTTGTACATTAGATGTGGCCGATTTGATCATGATGGTCTTATTTCTGTGTGTAGGACCATCTGAGGACGAGGATCATCAGTCAGTCCTCTAGTGGCTAAATGAGGAAAAACATTTAAGCAATCGCCACACTAAAGTGTCATGAATGAGATATCGGAACATCGCCACTACTCACTGTGGCCACAAGGTGGTAATGTCTGCAACCGTATCGGGTGCTAATATTCAGGGAACCTATAAAAAGTCAACATGTTCGCACAGTCGTACACAGAAACACTATCACAGATCTTGTGAGTGTTTATGATTGTAAATCTTTTGGAGCACCGACAAAAAGGTATTTTTAAATTAAATTCAAAGATATCTAACAATTTATAGGCTATAAAGAAGTTAAGTCACTTTATTGGTTATTTAAATAGCTCCATAGCAATATAATAATAATAATAAACTGCTCCTCATTTAATGTTCATATTCCCTCCTTCACCTGCAGGAATCTTTAACACCCACAGAATAAAAAAGAAAGACAGACCAGCGCCACGATAGTGCATGTGTGTGTGTGTGTGTGTGTGTGTGTTGTCAGGAAGACTGACTCTTGGGGGAGGCCATGTTCCAAACAGGCAGCGTCGAGGGATGCACTGAAGCCTTGGAGGTTCTTGTCACCATGGGTCTGTAACTAAGGATGCTACTGTTTAGCTGCTAGCCTCAGGCACATTAGAACTTTCCATCCCTCTCTCTCTCACACACACACACACACTTTGTCGTTACGACAGGAACATTTAGGACCAAATGTATGGAGTAGAGTTAGTTCTGAGGAGAGAAGACGGTCCACTGGATATACCGGACAGCACTCTATGATTAAGGTACAACCTCCGTTGTAATTGACTACAATTTAATCAGTCATCGAAAATGTTGATGTTCATTGATTTGTTTTCCTGAGCTCTCAGGTCAGTGTGAGAACTAGTGCGGTTGTGGTTTGTCTGCTTCCTAATAGTCTATGATTCTCTTTGAATTTGAAAATTGTTTTTTCTCTGACTACAATTTCAATGGAAATGTATTACGTATTTACTTATTGTGGCTGCAGAGTAAAATAAGCCAAATGTTCCCATGCTAACACTTACATTCCTCGAGCCTCTCATTGTATTGTATTTGCCATTTTGCAGAAATCACAAGTTTGGAGCCTGGTTGAGACCAGATGATGCATACAACGGAATTTCTTTTGAGCATGCACTGTGACTTGTAAAGCTAGTCTGGCTGTTCTGTCTATGGTTATTTCTGTTCACAACTGAATGGACACTAAAGGCTGTATGGTTTCAAAAATGCAAATAAGTGGCCTTTAAAAGGCATGTTTTTAAGCGGAAGACTACATCAGTCCACGATCAGTGAGGTCCATAAAGTTTCTGCCTCGCCCCGTCAGTTCAGCCGTCTCCTCCACAGCCATGTCTCTGGTAAAGACTTTATTTACCATCTTTAAAAGGTCGTGGCATCCACACAGCGCATTTCAAAGTCAGCCTCGGAACAGTCACAGGACTCCTGAGTCGTGATCTCCAAGGGTGATCAATTGCGTGTGTGTCATCGTCTGTGACGTTACTGACCCGCCTCCATCATCTGCTGCCTCCACTAGAAGGACGCTCCAACTGTCGCTGCTCCTGCTGCAGCGCATCCAGGAGTGAGGAGTAGCACGGTCGGCATCAGGGTAACCGCATCCCCCGCCACTGTTCCAGGAATCACCGGTCCTTACTGGTATGGACGCCGGAGGAGAGCATTGACCATCCAGGAACAATGCCGACGGTGCTCGGTGGGAGAGGGCAACTTTCCATGGTCTGTTTTGTGCTCCGATGCGCATACGCTCAGGTAACTGCATTTAATTTTTTTTAAAGTTGGAGCTAATTTTGTGTGGTGACAGTAAAAAATGTTTTATTATTATTATAATGACTTTAAATTATTATTAAGTAACTTATTTTGAAAATCTTTTCTGCTGTCAATCTCTGTTCATTTTTAGATTGTAGACATAAAAAACATTTCAGGGTGTAATTATTTTTTACAATACTGGTTTCTTCACTTCACGAGACCATAATGTTTATTTATTTTTATTTATTTTTATTTGGACTAAAGAAATCATCTGTGGACAGTGTGAGAGAGTGTAAGACTTAAGGAAACATGGCTGCAACCTTTGTTTATTTAATGTGCAAGCTTTCTACACGACACAAAAATGACAAAAAAAAGTTAGAGGATTTTATTCCACAGACATTTGTGAAGTAGATTTGTAAGTTATCATTTTCTTTTTTTCATTAACTTACTAAAATAAAATGACATCAAATGTATCAGAGTGACGCCTGTTGGGTTCCAGATCCAGATTGACCCCCTCCTTTTTTTAGCAGAAAGTTTCAAAAGGTGAGAATCACTTCAGTGGTTGCACGTACTTTAAGAATGCAGCAGGTGGTTGGTGGTGTAGCTGACCTGAACACTGCCTTTTTGCAGATGTTATGATGGTTGTGGTTTGTTTGGCCCTGGGGATTTCGTCCATCTGGGTATTGCAGCAGCAGCAGCAGCAGCAGCAGAGCTGTGGTGTGGTGCCACAGTGGATGCATGAAGCACAGCCAATGAGACGATGGGCAGTGGACGGTCTGCTGTTTGAATGCTAAAATACACTGTGTCCTGTACATACAGTAGACTTATGGCTGTTTTCCACTCAGGAGTGTGTGTTCAAACTGCACTTCACACACAGTAACTTCTCTAACAAGTCTTGGCTTCCATGACATATAAATGGTCACTATGATTGGTGAGAAGAAGTGAGTAAAATATGAATAGGTCAGAAACAGAAACTTACTTGCTCAAGTGTCAGTATCTGAGTCATCATCTGCAGCTGTGATTTTTTTTTTTTGGAGTCTTCATCTTTTCTCACCCAGTGACAGTCTCTGGTCTGTGAAAAGAAGAAGCTCAATTTAGGCCCAGTTATTTTTTTTTTTTAACCAAAACTTCACGTCAAGCTTCACAAGCCCATCACAGAGCCAGAGAAAAATGATGATGCCTAATCACAATTTATAAAATCCTGATGTTTTTGACTGATGTTGGAGGTAACCAGAGTACTTGACCAAAACCCAAACACAGGCAAAACTCCAGAAGGCACGAGCACTAACAACTCCAGCTCAATTATTCTTTATAATATTATATAATTATCACTAGGGCTGTTGGAATTAACCTGGTAATCACATTAATTAATTTGTTAAAAAATGCATGTGTGTTAAAGGGAGGTGAAACTAATTCACCTCATGTACTCTCACTCAGCCTTGCTGTAATAAATAGTTGATAAACATGTCACTATTATTTGAGACTGTAACGACACATATGCCCAGCTTCACTGAGCACAGGACAATCGATAGGTCTGTGACTAATAACTTCACTGACACATTTGTCAAATGGATTAGGAGAGAGCCCTGATTGATTAATAATTCTGAGGACAATGGCTTCACCAAAGTTTTCAAAGAAACTCTCGACACATTCTAGAATCAAATTCAATCGTCGAGATGCACTGTAATGATTACAATTAACAAACAAAATGTACATAGTTACTGTGTATTAGGAAAGCGAACTACTTGTCATTGTGACACAGCACACCACTGCACACAACCAAATGTGACCTTTTAATCCATCACCAAAGTGAACGGTGGGCAGGTTTAAGTGCCCGGTGGGGACGGTTGGTGGGGACGGTGCCATGCTCAGAGCACCTCAGTGGTAACTTGGCATAGTGAAGCCTTCAAGACCCAAGTCCGCTTCCTTAACCACTAAGCTAAACTGATAAACTGCCCCTAAAAAAAAAAGAAAAACAGTAACGCCCAAACAGGGACTTGAACCCTGGACCCTCAGATTAAAAGTCTGATGCTCTACCGACTGAGCTATCTGGGCTCTTACAGAACTAATCTACCTGCTGTTATTTGTCGTTTCCTTCCATGAACGCCCAACAAAACATTTCTGTCATTCAGGAGTGACAATTACCCGCGATTATTCACAATTAATCATGGTAAAGTATGATTGTTCCAAGGGCCACCATATGATTAATGTGATTCAAAAGTGTATTTGATTGACAGCCCTGATTATGATATAAATGTAACAGAAATTGTATTCTTGTAAAAATGCCACCTTAAAAAACAACAGCTTAGTTAAGTAATTATACATAAGAAAAGAAGAAGACATTCACAGTACACATACTAAATAACTTTGGGCTATAACCCAGAACTAAATGCACACAACACGTTACAGTTTGTCGCAGATGAAGCCAAGCTTTAATGGACATGACTTTTTTGCTTAAAAATCTAAGTGCTGCCCTCTAGCTTCAACAGTGTTAAATACAGCAACTGTGAGAAAATAACAACAGATGATCTGTGATAAACAGTTGATTCTTAGTGACTTAGTAGTTGGTCATGTTTTGGCTCAGGTTTGGTAGATAACATATAAATAAAACCACATACATTTCCTCACTTGAAAGAGGCCTGGCTTCCTCTGCTGTCTAACAGCAATTGTCACTTGTACAACCTCTTGCAATTAGTCTTAATTTGTGTGTGTGCGTCCGGGACATGGGAGTGTGTGTGAGACAGTTTGATGATGTGGTTTACAGTAAAGAGCTCTGCTGCAGTTTGAATGATGCAACAAAAGGCGGGAAACACTGTACAGGAATGCCACCTTGCTCTGTGTGTGTGTGTGTGTGTGTGTGTGGGTGTGCATCTGTCTTGGTGACCAAGATTGAAAGTTCTTATGATAGACAAAGGTTGGAGAAACGAAACAAACGTATTTTGCATTACTGTATCTGTGAGTATTTCTTTACAGTATTTGCTTTGCTGCTTGAAGTAATCCAAAAATACCTTTAAAATCCTAATAACTGCATTTGGAACAATTAGGTCAAAGGATTGTAAAAACAATACATGCATTGATCATTATAAATAATTGATGAATATACGTGTGTTCACTTGTTGTTTCCACAGGTAACAAGAAGCCAACATAAGAGTTGTGCCAAAGATATCCTGGAGGTAAGAACTGATTCATTCATCGTCTTTAGTTTTGGACTGTGATCAGACCCACCACTCTTCACATGTTCAGTGAGGTGTGGCACAGAACGTACAGGGATTGAGTCACTGGTTTCTAAAGACAGTATTTTTAGATGTTGTCAGTACATGATGTTGTTGAGTAGGAGGTGATCGAGTATTAGTTAAAAACACAAATTATTCAACTCAAAACAATTTCCTGGAGTTTAGTTATGATTTTTTTCTTTGTTTGATATGGTTCTGAGGTGAATAGGTAATGGGTCGGTCATGTGTGACAGGTTGACCTAACATCAGATGTAAGTGGAGACGTAAATGAAACCAATCAGTCCATAAACACCTGCACTACAATATTTTGTCAATAATGATTGGCTTCTCACATACATCTTAGTTTGTGATCAGAAGTTAGTTTTCTTCTGTCTCATTATTGTGTTTTATTCATCTCTGGGTTGTCTTAATGGACGTAAGGTGATGAGCAGGAGAATATTGACATACACTTCCATGAGGTGGGAAATCGGTGGGAAGCAGATAACAACTCATGTCCCTACACCTGGGAGTTTTGTTGTTGTTAGAGGAGGAAGGAGATGAGTGGTGAGGGCTGGAGCTGTGTCCTTGGTGACTGAGGGAAGAGAGATAACGTAGTGAAAGGATGAACGGAGACGAGAAACACATGCCCTCTGGGGGGGCTACTCTATTGAAGAGCGTGGAGGAAACAGGAGGAGGACAAGGAACAGAGAAGCCGGCAGATAAGGAGTCACCCGACAGGTTCATTAAAATGTGTCCTCTCATGGACGTCTGGAGCTAAACAAATGCCCTCATCGCAGCTGGACTTTGTAGTTTCTCAACATAGGCCCCAATGGTTAAGGCCATTGAGACTCGAACCCACAACTCCTAGCTTAGGAGACCAGTCCTTTTAAGTCAGGGTAATTCAATAGTGCTATTTTTTGTAAATAGAATACAATTTTAGTACGTAAATAAATTATAAAAGAAAAGAGAGAGAACAGAGCACATCGGGAGATAGCAGATATGGGTGGACACTGAGTGTAGTGCCCTACGGACTCTTTCAAACTAAAAGCTTTGCTTTCTGTTGGTCTTTACTGCTTATGTTCTTGTAAATGGGAGTACAATTCACAAATATTACTTCCTGTTGGAGACTACCTGAAACTGTAAGGCAAATTTCCAATGATTTTACCATAGACATGGACTTCTGTGCGACTTCTGGGGTTTTCCAGTTAACTACTTCCTGTCTTATACAAGGTCTGTGGTTACAGTCATGGTCAAAGCTAATGACATCAACAAATGACATATAATATAACATGGCAATTGTTCTTCACTGAAATGTTGCTTGCAGTAAAAATCATTGAGTCTTACGCTCTTACACAGCTGAGAAACCAGATCACACTAACAAATTAAATGAATCAGACCCTTTTTATTTATTTATTTGCAAACACAAGGTCTGGTTTGTGTGACTGCAGGCTAACTAATTAACAGAGATAATAATCAGATCTGGAACAGAGAGCATGAGCTGCAGACACAAGGCAGACACGGATGGTTTCCTTTTCAGTGCACAGGGAACAAATAAAACAAATGGGATCAGGTGTTAAATGCTGTAGATATATACACTTATTAGAAACCAGTTTTAGAACCCCTGTGGTCAGCTCAATGTCAATTAGCCACACAGCCATTGGAAGAAGGTGCACCACCGCACCAGTGCCGATCAAGACATCAAAGGAAACTAATTTTCACCCACGCAAACAATATTGGATTTTTCCTCCCTAGGACCACAAAGGCATCACTACCCTTCTCTTTCTTTGGCTGGTTACTTAGGCTGGACATATTTAGCAATTTAGATGCATAGTAGAACATATCATGTATATTAGTACCTGTCAATTACCAATGCTAACACTGTGGTAGCATCATAAGGTAGCACAGAAAAACATCAGAAGTACAACCAGTGAATGTAATCAAAGCTGTCTTCCATGTATTTGTGTGCTCTGCTGACCAGCTAGTTGCCATGCAAACTAGTGGGTGAGTTTTAACGCCGTACGTCGGAATGATGGAATAACAACTGATTTGTGTGAGTCGGCACTGTAGCCACAAAACGCCGTAGGTCCTACACTTCTAATCTTCCTGACCCACTCAGACTCGTGGGGAGGAACAGTGGTGAAAACTACTACTACTGATCTGTACTCACTGTGATTCTACGTGACAAAACTTAGTTCCTCAAATGAGAGGGAAATAAAGAAAGCTTGTGTTTCTAGAAATTCCTAAGGCCTAAGAGTCTCTGAATGTGAGGATCATCACTCACAGTGACATCTCACAATTCACCTTTTGACCTCTTTGCCATTATACAGGACATGACTCAGATCTGGCCATCCCAACAGGCCTTAGGGGGGGACCAGTCCCAAAGAATGCTCTACAACCCCAAGGTATGTGAGTGTTTGTTTGTGGTGAAGCCATTTTTGGCACCAGAGTAAATCTGTGGAAGTGCTAACACAGGAGTGTTGTTCATTCAGTCTGTAAATACAACCTGCTACTACTGCAACTACCAATATAATTCATACTACTATCCCATAATCAATGGTAGCATTGCGATTTTGCACACGTTGTACTCTGCTATTTGTCTTCAATCATATCAGCTAACAATAGCATAAGCTACAAAAACCATCAACAACAAACTGTCAATGGTTCAATTGACTATGTTGAGTTTTTACATCTGCTGAAAAGCTACTGCTACTATTCCTACTACTTTATTTACTACTACAAACGTCTTGAGCTCAGTCCTGAAGGCAGCTAACTGATTGCTACAGATAAAGGCAGCAGTTGTTTTTTTAATTACAAAATGTATCATAAATCAGTGATACAGCATCCATATACTGTACATCTCTTCTTCTTCTGGATCTGGGTCTTCTCAGTCATTTACGCGCTTTGTTATATTCTCCATCAACAGGATGCTAAACAGGCAACTGCAACACAAAGACAAAGTAGGTTCTTTCAGACATTTTCCTTGGCTCATGAGATAAGTTTGATGGTTTAGATTTTTTTAAACATTTTTTTCTGTCTATCTCTCTGTCTCTGTCTGACAGGTCGGGGAGATGTTCAGCTCAGAATGACCCGTCACCCTCACGTGGCACCTCACAAATCGTAAGTGAACGATCAGGAAACATGATCCAAAGGTCAGGTCATGAAACCAATACAAAGAAAATAACATTCGTGAACATCAGTCATGCAGCCACAAGACAATCATTCTGCACAGAAGAGAGCGAGCGGGAGAGAGGATAGTGCGTTGTGTACAGGAGTCAGTCAGCTGACACTGTTTAAGGCGACATAACATAAATCGGGTCAAAGGTTAGCTACCAGTCCTAAAAGCTGTCGGCGGAGAATGATGTGCTCCTGTTTGTTAACTTTTCACATCCCCTCGATGATATATAACAGATGTTGTGCACTGAGGCCCACCACGTCTTAAATGATCCCAGCCTTTGTTATGTAATGAAGCAATTAACGTTGACAAAGTATAGCTAAGAAGCCTTATCCAACTGATTTGACTATTTCCATCGTGTAGCAAAATAGACAAACCAACACACTAACATTGGACTGGCATCGGTTTTGAATTAAAATTGTCTCGATTATTTTTCCATACCATAATTATTCTGCAATAGGGAACCTGTTTAATAGTTTGGAAAATATGGTCTAGAACAGCGGTGTCAAACTCATTTTCACCGGGGGCCACATCAGCAGTACAGTTCCCCTTGAAGGGCCGGTTGTAACTGGAAGACTATAGATGTGACTACTCCATAACAAACATAAATGTTCCTGCAATTGATTATTAAATATTTGAGTTACAAATATTGTTCGTTGCTGTGTAATAAAAAAAAATTAATGAGTTATCAGGTTAAGCTTCATGGACTTAATGTAAATAAATGTCTTTTTAAGCAGCCGCAGGCCATAAAAAATGACTTGGTGGGCCACATTTGGCCCCCGGGCCTTGAGTTTGACACGTGTGGTCTAGAACATTGTTTCCCAAAGACTCACATCATGTATCCCAGGAGTTTACGAATAATGTCTGTTGAGAAAAAGTTTGGGAAACACTGGTCTAGAAAGACAGAAATATAATGATGGAGCATCAAAAAGAATAAAAGAAAAAAACTAGAGAGTAGTGCAGGAGTGATTGGCTCAACAAGAGGGAAAACTAAGGCACAAAGTGATTTAAGGAAAAGAAGAGTGCACCTGCAGTTGTGTTGGGTCAATTTCAGCACAGAACTATTCTGACTGTGTCTTGGTTTGTTCGTGTGTTAACAGCATGCTTGCCGATGACCTGAAGCTGAGCAGTGACGACGAAGACAATCAAAGGGTGATGAAGATGACAACAATCTCAATAATCTGATCTTCATCTTGTCAAGTGTTGCCTGTTTTTCTGGTTGTCAAAATTGCACACACCCACACGCAGCACAGCAGACACTCTGATATAATTATTTTGTTCTGCTGCTAATCATTTGAGCGCTAGTAGCAGCAGTGACACGTCGCACTCTGTGAGTTGGTTAGTCGACAAATTCTGTGGATGATTTATATTTTTTTTTTTTTGTCCCTAAAGGCCACACACGAGTCGTCTGCCTGGGAGAGACACAGGTACTTGATTACTAATAAATAAATGTTTATGTTCACTGTTTGAGCGCTTGTCGTCTGAGAGAGAGATTATATGTTTTGTTCTGTGCAGTAATGATACAATAGCAACATTTCTCCCAGGTGTCGCTAAGGACTTTCGAGGTCCAGGGCCAATGATATTAATTGCAACAACTGCTCATATTTCAAATGTGGTTAAAGTCATGTGACAATATGCAAATGAGTCCTCTGGCATTTCAAAAAAATGCACCACACATTTACTACCACACACACACACACACAGTCTTCAGTTCTTGCTTGTTCTACCAGGACAGTCTTAAGGTCAAAGGTCAAAGGAGATGTTGTCTTTCATTCACAACAAAAACGGATGTCAAAAATAAGTTTGTTATCTCAGCCAATTAAAAAGCAGCAAGTAGGTTCTCTGTAGTAACTAGTAAGTCCTCTGACCAATCAGGAAGGTGTTCATTAGAAGCTCCACCTCCAAAGTTCTTGTACTAATAATTGTCCTACATTTCACACCAGGGCCGCCTTAAAATAAGGCTGAGCAGCCATGTATTAATAAACACTTTAATTAATTAATAAACACACTCTATAGTCGATGATATCTTAAGACCAAAATTTCTACCAAAAAGTTTGGACTTACTTGGGTGTTATTTGTATTACACTCAACAAATACTGTGACCTATCTGATTAGAGTAAAACAAACCAGCTACCATCTGAATATGCATGTGCATTAGTGAGTAGCTATTCTGACGCCTCTCTTTGATGTTTGTATGTTTGTTGACTGACAGCCGGTCAGCACGGCGAGCACAAACACATGGCAGACGGGTGAGACATTCCAGCTCTGATTCTTCAGACTCAGACTACAGTGGTGGTGGCAGCGGCGGTGGAAGCAGCAGCCTTCATTCACGTAGCTCGAGTCCTGAAGTTCATCCTGATCCTGCATCGCCTGCATCGCAACCTCGCAACTACAAGGAGGTACCAGGAGTGAGTGCTGTATATGTCCTCCGTCTGTGTCTGGTTCGTCTGCCTCCTCCTGTGTCTGTGTTCTTTTGAGGAGTATTTTCTGCAGGGAGTGGTGGCCATGGGGTAGCCGATGGCAGGTGTGGGGAGGGACAGAGGAATGAAGGAGGAATGCATGTGAGGAAAAGAAGAGGGAGGAGGATGTGGGGTCAAGGTGCAGGGGCAGCTTTGGAAATTAGTGCCTGGGTGTCACGTCAACAGGCTGAGCCCCGGGGAGAAGGAAGTCATCAAGGCTCGGGTTAATGCTGACATTTAAAAGTAGTTGCCTTCTTTAGGAGAAGAACTTCTGCTGAAGAATGTGACTGCAGCTTATGTTTATTTACCTAAGATAAATAATGACTTTGGGGGGGGGGGGGGGGGGGGGTACAGGGCATGCTAGGTATGACAGGCTTTAGGAGTTGAAGGGCATTATGGGGGATGGTGTGAGACATGTGCTACGTGGGGGTATGAAGGGGAAAATTTTATGAATGACAGGCCCTGTACCTCATTACAAAGTGTATCACCAACGACCTGGTCGATACATAGAGAGTGTAGAGAGTGTGTGTTTTTGTGGGGGAGTGCTGGAGGAGGAGGGGGACCGCGAAGGGTGTACACCATGTGTTTTTCATTTGCGTGGAAGGTTTGAGTGTCTCCTGGAGAAGAGATGTAGGGGTGGGGGGAGGGCGGAGGAGGGATTGAGGGGGAGTGCTGGAGTTCTGCAAGCAGCAAAAACTGGAGTTCCAGGTAGTGTGAAAGAGTGAGAGAGGGAGGGACAGAAAATGGGAAGGAGGGAGGTTTACCCAAAACGGCACAAGAGATGCAGTGTCTTCACTGGAAAGAGGGAGAGGGGTGTGGAGGAGGGTGGCGGACGGCTGGGTGAGGAGGAGGGGGGGTCACTGTTTGACTTGAGGAGCAAAGGTTTGATTTGGTCCCTGGTCAGCTAAGAGTGAAAAGCAGAACTAGACAGAGTCAAGGGAAGAAGAAAACAACTCCACAGCTGTGAGTATCTGCTGTTTTTCTGTAACTTTGATCCAAAGTAAATACTCTGGCTCTGTTCTTGTCATGTAAGCTAACAGGCTTGTTATTAAGCAAACATGCGAGTCATTTGACATTATTCAGTGGGGGGCGGGGGGCAGGAGGGGAGCGGACGGGCTGCTGTTAGCGCAGACGTTTACTCTGACATCATGTCGGGAGTGAACCTTTAAAAAGTTTAATGGAATGTCAGTTGAACTTTTTTCTTAATGAGGTGCAGCAAATGTGTCGCCTGTAAATCCAACGCTGTTGGAATGTACAAATGTTGCATATGTTTTCACTGCGACAGCTCACTTGATGTGAGATGTGTGTTTATGAAACACAAGCCTGCACTCTCTGATCTCATAATTAGAACATGACAAGACATGTACACCTCACATGTACAGTGTGTCACGTACTGTATCAGAGAGTACCTTTCAGTACTTGTATTCCTTCTTGCCATATGGTTTAAGTTACTGCTCAGTCTAGTCATTCCTCTGTGTTTTTAAATATGTCCAGGCAATAGAAAAAACACCAAATGGTACTAACTTTTGCCAGTGTCTTACTCCCAAGTGTAACATGTAACGTGTTATAACCACCTGCCTCTTTCAACTTCACCCTTAAACTACTCCACCTTATCAGTTCCCCTGATGTGTTTATTTCTAGTCCTGTCTTCTTATCATGTTCTTTCTTACATTTTGTTCTCTGCATTCTTTCAGACCAGTCGTCCCTCTACTGCTCATTGGCAGTTGGATAAATGGCTGCAGAAGTCTCAGAGAAAGTCAAGCAGTAGTGACAAAGCTCCTTCCACGAGTGCTGCAGGACGTCTGCCTTCTCCTCACCCCCCTTCTCCCCTAAGGTCCTGGGACAGCAATCAGGAATACAGTCCCAGCCAAAGCCCAATTCCCAGCCCACGGTTGAGTTACAGCAACAACAATACACCTCTTCCCAGTCCTGGTTATAGCTACTGCCCGAGCCCAAGCCCTTTCCCTAGTACCTGTCCAAGTCCCAGTCCTAGTCCAAGGCACAGCTCGATTCCCAGTCCGGTTCCAAGTGTATGTCCCAGTCCTTGTGGAAGTCCACAAAGCAGCAGGAGTCTGAGTCCAATATCTAGAGATCCTCCAAAAAGCCCAAGTCCAAGCTTACCTTCTCCTTCAAGGCAGCGTCACTACCCTGAGAGTCAGACGACCCACCGCAGCCCACAGCAATCGAGTCAGGGAGTCAATCTACACAGGACGAAAATCAGGTCTCGGACTGCGCCTGTGGTGAACAGTGACTCAAGGAACAAGGTCACAGATAGCAGCAGTGGTCAGCTGACTTCCCACCACAGGCCTAAGACTCAACCTGTACGTGATAAGGATCAAAACCCGACTAAATCCAAGACCTCGGCTGTTTTAACCTCTGACCCGCATCATTGCCAAAAAAATAGACCCAAGTCAGATTTTAATCCAAAACCAAAACAGATCCCAGATGCTCCAAAGGCCAAACACTCACTACATTTTGAAAATATACAAAGTAACAAATCTAACCATAGCTCCAGCCATAAGCCCAGACCTACGTTTAGACCCAGCTCACAAGTAAGCCCCTCTAGAACGAGGCAGCAGGGTGTTGCTAGTTGTGAAGCCAACACAAGTCACAGTTCATACTCACAGTGTACCTCAAAATCCAAGCAGTGGAAGGCTACGGCGCCGACCGCTGTCCATGACATTCATGCAAAAACCTCAGAGAGGAGACCACACAGCAAGGAACGGGAGGTGGACTACAGAAGAGACCGTCAGAGTAAAGTAGACCGGAGTAAAGAGGAGAGCAAGGAGGACAGGCATCGGGACAAACAGAGAAGAACACAGGACAGGAAGGAAGACAGGAGGCTGGCGGAGGAACAGTTATTAAGACGTTCCTGGATCCACACTTCAGAAGAAGAGGAAGAGGAGGAGGAGGAAGACGGTGTACTAGAGAGGCTAGGCAGGAGAAGAGAGGAGGTTTCCAAAGGTGAAAACAGACGGAAGGAGCAGCAAACTGAATGGCAATCAGTCCAAACCAAACAGAGATTGTTTACAGGTGACAAACAACAACGAAATAGGGACAACTCACACCTCGACAGGGCAACAAAAAAGGGAGGGACCAGTGAGAAGGCCAGAGAACCACATCAAGACCCTTTGCCCGCTCATCCTTCACACTCCCCAACCCCCCATAAGCCATCCTCCTCATCCTCTTCTTCATCCTCTAACTCAGATTCAGAATCTGAGTATCAGGTTCCCGTCGGCAAAGTTCCACCAGATTCCACCTCCCAAAAGTCACTCAGGAAGAGTGGTCCAAACAGACCCAACACCAATAGGGCCGAGGAAGGACACTCCAGAGGGCCTATCTCCGCGAGGTCCAGTGATGGAAAGCAGAAGCTCTACACCTTGGTCCCTTTTGGGAGAAGTGATCAGACGGCAGTTCCCTCTAATCGAGGGCTGAGGAACCTGGTGGTTCAGATAGACCTTTGTCTCCTCAAAAGGGTCCCAGACAACACTGCAAACCCCACAGTCAAAAACCCTTCAGCGACCTCCACCGTCTCTTCATCGGCTAAGGACAAACAGAAAGAGGCCATGAAACACCTGCATATACCTGAGAGCAAAAGGAAACGTAAGGTACACAACAGAACTGAATGTGTCTTATACCTTTAGACAATGTATGCACATTTGGTGGCGTGTTCAATGACAGCACATGTTTGTGGACAGCTGGAGAACGGCGTGTCAAACAGGGACAGCAAGAAGAGTCATCCTAACACGACTGACCTCTCAGGTCGAACGGTTGAGCCCTCAACTCATGCAGGAGAGCGCAGCTTTGTGACGGAGACCACACACAATGGGTGAGTAAACACCAGACACACTGGTGTGCACAACTACGACGGCATCATTGAACGTGAATGGTTGCGGTTCCTTACAGGTATTTGGATGAGTACTTGGACAGCAAGAGGCCAATGTCTCCACTGTCCCCACTGTCCCCACTGTCCCTCAGCCCAGACACCACCAAGCCTCCACCCAAAACAAAGAGCTCGGAGCAGCATCACAACCACCCCCACAAGCCCAGAGTCAGAAATAATGATCCTGTGAAGGTAACTTAAAACAGCTGCTCAGATTGTCATGGATGTTTGTTTTTTTTTAACCTGTTTATTTATTAACGATTTTAACCCCAGGCCCAGCCCAAAGCAGAGGTGGAATGTGTAAAAGTGTCCAGACAGCCCCATCCCCCATCAGAAACCTGGGGCCCTGCAGGACACATGGGGACTGCACCTAACCATGAAACGTGAGCTGTCACACTTTATCTGAAGTGTTTCCTACAACATTTTATGTAGGAGCCTGGAGCCCACATTTTAACAGATCGGAGAACTGATGTGTACACTACCAATTATAAATGCTATGTATTTTAAGGTTTCTGCACGGAGATTTTCTCTAATCAAGTTTTATCATTAATGGTTAATTGTTCTTCATAGGCCACACCATGCTGAGTACTATTTACATGAAGCAAAAAGGATGAAGCACCGTGCAGATGCGATGGTGAGTCCACGAACACTGGCTGTCAAATAATAGATAGATTTAGACAGTGGTGAGTTCAATAACACTGATTGATGTGGGTAACATGTTAAACCTGTCTGTTATTTAAAGGTGGATAAGCTTGGGAAGGCGGTGAACTATGTTGATGCCGCTCTGTCCTTCATGGAATGTGGAAAAGCGATGGAGGAAGGACCACTGGAGGCTAAATCTCCATATACCATGTATTCAGAGACAGTGGAGCTCATAAGGTGATTGTGATTCTGGAGAGAAGCTGTTTGGATGTGAACATAAAGAAAAACAGAGATGCTTATGAAGTATGTCAGAGTGTTCTTTTGTTAACAGTGCTCTTTCTTAAGGTACGCAATGAGGCTAAAGAGCCACTCTGGCCCCGGGGCAAGGCAGGAGGACAAACAGCTAGCGGTTCTCTGGTGCGCATGTCATCCCTTATGTTTGAAGAACATTAATATTCATCGTCATCGTCATCATGTTGCTCAGAACCTGAATGTTTTTGATTTGAGTTTGTTTCAGTGAAACTTGTTGTGTTTCCAGTTTTCGATGCCTTGCGCTGCTTTACTGGCAGATGTTTCGACTTAAGAAAGACCACGCTCTGAAATACTCCAAAGTGCTGATGGACTACTTTAAGGTACTGAGAATCAAACACAGGTGCATTTTGGGAGGGTTGTAACAGTTTGCATCATTGCCAGGCTACAGTTAGTTTAGCTTAGCAGAGCTAATGGCAAACCAAGCTGTGTTTTTCAATGGTCATTTCTAATTATATAGATATATTTAAAAAAACAAACCAAAAAACGGCACTACTGTAGTCAAATATGTTTATATTTGGTAATACAGAACACAAATGTAAAAATGTGTAAAATGTGTCAGTTCACGACTCAAAAGACCACTTAACGTGCTAGACAGAGTATGCACTTTACGGCTCTGTCGTTTTGGTTTAAAGATACAGTTTTGACATTTTTGTTACACGTTACATTATTACTATGCAAAAAAGCAAACCTATGGGTTTCCAAATGTCTAAAACATCCCTTTGTTTTTTTTAAACCGTATTCACTCACATTTTATGATGTTTATGATTTTATTATGTATGATGTTTTGCAGAGTTCTCCCAAAGTGTCTGCAATGCCACCCGGTTGGAACGACTCAGGAAAGTAGGTGGATGAAAACCTTGACTTTCTTTCAATTACTCTTTTGCTTTCTTTTGTAGACACACAACTGTCCCTGTGTTTTCACTCCCAGGACCGCGCCACCTCTCTCGCCTAATTCCAAACACCATGGACACAGTTCACATGGAGGCAGCAACTCCCCATCCTTTATAAGCATTCCCCAACGTATCCACCAGATGGCAGCAAATCACTTAAACATCACCAACAGCGTCCTGTACAGCTATGAGTATTGGGAGGTGGCTGACAACCTTGCAAAGGAGAACAAAGGTGTGCTGATCCCCAGATACTGTATCGGATGCATGAACAATGATTGGCGTGAAAAATAAATAATAACCAATATAATCTGTAAAGAATTAATTATGTTCACTTTTCGTTTTAAACCATTTTGTAGTCAGCCAAAGTCCTTCACTTACACATTCATATTTGGTATCAATATCTTTAGGTCCATAGTCCTGTCAGTTAAGGAGCTTTATGTTGCCCTCACGATTAATTATTCAAAATAACTGTCAGAAAAGAAGATTGTTTTTATTTTACTTGTAAAAGAAAAAATTTCTTTTCACAAGTCTTTTGTCATACATTCACATGTTTCACCGTTTTAATTCAAAATAACTGTCAGAAAAGAAGATACATTCACATGTTTCACCGTTTTTATTTATTTTTTCTTCTCTCTTACTAGAGTTCTTCAACTACTTGAATACGTTATCGGGGCCATTGACTCTTCACAGCAGCATTGCCCACATAGTCCAGTACACCAGGCAGGCTCTTCAGTGGATACGTATCAGTGCCAAACTTAACTAAAGCTGCCCGTAGAAGCTGCTTTCAGGCCTGTCCTGATCTCAAGTTGCACGGCCAGTTAGGTCTGTCACATTGACGGCAGATTGCTAAGAATGTTGTGACATGTGGTCATGATCATGTGGCCTAGACATTTCCAGGAGCCTTTATGAAGAAGGGAATTTTTTTTCTGTAAACTACCCACTGGATCTTCAGGCTTCGTGATCTGCAGAACAGACACATTTGTGGAGCTCTGTGCAGTCAGCAGCGCAGTGTGAAATGAAGACAGAAGGAACCCACATGGAGCCTGGAGGTTTTCATCCTTATAGGATGTTGGAATGCTCTTCACCTGGGTCGTCACCTGGGTGTACAACGCCTTCTGAAGGAGTACGATTTCTATGAGCACCTTCTTCATCACCCATGGATTAATCAGATGATGTGTGTGCAGGGTGGACTCTCAGTCTCTAATTTTTTCATTTGCCAAATTTACTTTAAAACAAAGCCATTTTTTACTGTTTTACAAAAAAAGGTGCTGAAAATAAATGAATAAATAACCAATTCCCTTTGGTATTTACTTCTGCATTTTTTGATAATATTAATTCAAATGTCTTTTTAAAATGCTGATTTTTCACTTTTTAATTTTTAGTGCAATATTTTACAGATGATCTATTGTTGGTAATTCTTATTGCCAATATTAAAGATTGCAAATTGATTTTGACCCCATTATTGAGTCTGTGGTGCCATATCTAAACAGAAGGCACCAACCAGCAAGTGTTTACTGAAAAAGACTGGACCACATCTATGACCTTTGTTCAGGCATAAACAAATTCGGAGAAAGAAACAGAATAGAATTGCTTTAAAATGCTTACTTATGACAGCACTGAAAATAATTTTAAATTCAACCTGAAAGGTCAAATGTAAGGTATAGGCCTAGTTATTCTTAATTTTGTAATAATACACACATACTTTTGGAGACACAAAAGCACAGAAAAATCCAGGATGTCTCCTGACATGTGCATACAATACATTTAGTTCTGAGAAGCAATTTCATTTTTTAAATTTTAATAAAATTAAGCAGTGATTACAATTCAGGGGACATAGAAAGGGTTTTTTTTTCATTGGATAATTGATCTATTTCCTTCTGAAGGTAACAACAGGTTAAAGAACATTACATTATCTGCTTGATTCTATACAACCCCATCACCCCTTGGGACTACATTGTGGCTCAGAGCTTCCTTTGGGTCACGACCCACCATTTGAGAACCATATGTGGACATCCATGACAATTGTATGTTTCAATACTTGTCACTTCACCATCACCATCACTTGTCTTACAGTATTTAGTATTCTTGTCTACACACTCACTCACACGCACACACACACACAAACACACAAGCCGTGGGAGACTGTCTGCACAGTACAGTTGTGCCGAGTTCCCACCCTCTCTCACACTGTTCATCACTGCATTCATACATCCTGCTGCACTAGCACGGAAGTTGCACGTGAAACTTCAGCATCGGCTGTCTGGTGCCATAGCAACAGAGAACAGCCAATGGGAGACCGCTTCAGGACAACAAGCCTTGAGTCAATACCATACTGTATTCTGTGGTTTTATGAAACTGGCTTTTCCCACAGCCTAATGTAACAGTTTTCAGTTTTCATTCACGTGAATTGTTTTACAGTCGATCTTGTGGTTATTTTGAAGAACAATCGGTATGTGTTGTATAATTAAAAACATCAATAAGGCGGTAAATTAAAATGATAAAATTATCTAAGGAGACACAAGAAATCAGAAAAATAAATGTGACAATGGAAACTGTGGCTGTGCGATTTCTACCTGCCTTATAAACTGTTCTATTTCATTGAATTCATTCATTGAGCAGCCGACTGCTGACTAAGAAATGAACAGCAGTTAACAGACAAAGGAAAAGGCTCTCTTACCCTCTGACTAAGTGACAGTCATATTGTCACTGTGTGGTGGTGGTGGAGAAAGGGCAATATCTATCTATCTTAATCTATCTATTAATTGGATGGACAGTTCACAGAAGGAACTTCTGTGTCAAGTTCCTGTGTCAGTGCAGACAACTGAACCAAACCTGAATGGATTCAGTTCCCTGCTAACATTAAAAACAGCTGCTAATACTTGGCTCGGGTCAGCCAAAGAAACGGAGACAATAGGCATTCACTGTCAGGTGAAATGAGTCAGCAGAAGACAGTAATTGAAATTTAAATGTACTATTGTATATGTCATTGATTCAGTCTCTACTGAGAATGATGCAGGGACTTATGACCCCACCCCCCCATTCATTCAACCACTGTAATGGTTGACAAAACCTGCATTAATAACACAAGAGAAGAGGACGCCTGGTGGTGAGTTAGCATGATTAGCATATCCTAGCCTCACTGACTGTCCATTGTACCATTCGATACCAGAATATACAGAGGTGCATCGCTCCAATAAACATGGTCTGTCATGGGCTTTATTTTCATATCCACAGAGAGTAACTACAGTCTCCAACCCTGAAAGTATAACTAAAAGATTTAACTATTATGAAAGACGTTGTTCCAGGTCATTACAATTTTCAGCGTTCAGTGCACCACCTGCAGGGGATGGAGGGAAACACCAACAAGCTGTTTGCTTAGACACTTGAAATAACAGTGTCGCAGCTTATATATTTACCTTCTAAGTTAATAATGCATTAACCTTATTGGGAAAGAGGTTAAAAATAAATTTAAAAACATTAATAAACAACTAATGACCAATCAATGAAGATACCAATCAATTAAATTCTTATTTTAAATGGCCTTTACAGACCAGTTATTACTTCCATTTAAACTGAAAATGTATTTTAATACAGTAGTTTGGCCTGAACTGGTGAATTGTTAAAATACGTCTGACGCCTCATCAGAAACAGTCAGTTGTGAGCACGATAAGTTGTCAGGTGAATATGCTGGCAGACGTCTGCAGTAACAGCCTGCGTCTCTGGCTCATTTATTCAGCACGTGTCTCTGCGTCACGGCCTTTAGGATGTCTGAGCGCCGGTTCGTCTGAGGACATCCGAGCTCGGAGCTCAGCGCCAGACAGCCCACATGGCAGACACAAAGAATTAAAAAAGAACCACTGTTCTGATCGACTGTCATGCCTGTAGGTTGTTGTGCTGCGCCAGTACCTCTGGTTGTTAACCTGCTTCTATATGATACATCAACAGCCGTTCTTTTCACCCACTTTAGCATCAAGCGCCCCTTCCACGGTTCATTTGCTTCTGCCTTGATTCGTTGAGTTAATCAGTGTGAATCTTTCACTGTTAAATGGCGTTAATCTAAAGAAAAACAGCATCAATGTTCCACCGCGTCTCGTGCAGCGCGTACAGATGTCATGGCCCAAGATGCCCGCACAGTGGCGGAATTATTATACAAGTTAAAGCTAAAAACAAGGAGCCGGTTCGTACAGTCAAGTTAGCTTTAATGAGGTATGAACATATCAGGAAGTCAGTTGAAACGGCGCATAAAAATAAAATACAAATTAGACGGCAGTCACAAATTAAGTTATTCAATATCATAGACTGCATTTAAAAGACTGACCTTCTCTCTAGATCTGTTTCAAATTAGTAAATTGGTTTTCACTGTCTCCAAAATCCTGGAATATCCCAAGGTTGATAATATCTATTGCTAAAAACTAACACGTAATGCTTTCCTGTTTAAATTATGAGTGCATGGTCAGATGATGCTCCCTTTCAAATGGCTGTCAGGCCTTAGTTCAGAGGTACAGTTAAAACTACACTCGTTAGGCCAAGCAGTAGAATGTTTTCCTTTGAAAATATTTTCCGGAAGTTGCCCCTTTCGCTCTTCGTCACGTTGACGCACAAAATAGAGGGAAGAGCTAGAGAGGGATCAGATGAGGCGGTTGAAAATGGAAAGCAAGAGGACTGAGAGGCTGGGGGTTCATGTTGGACAGACATGGCGTGGCACAGTGACAGACTGAAGGGATCGCAGTTCGTCTAACGGACTCGTTCGGATCAGGTCAAGACCAAAGAGTCGATTCAACGGCTTGGCGGGATTTTTCTACGAGTGTTTTTTTCTATTTTCTCGTTGCTTTTGTTGTTTCTAATCAGATTGACAGCACACGACGTTGAAGCTGTGGTATCTGCAGAGAAACAAGTGTGTGACCAATAACTGTCTTACGGCATTAAAAGGTAAAGAAAATATAACACGTGTTGTGTGTTCACGAACTGCTACTGTGTGTTTAAAACGATATTAACAGAGAAGTTGCACTGTGTCAATATTCCTCACCCCATTGTTATGGAAGCTCGATTTTCCCAGCATTTTGTTTGACCCTGAAAGCAGCACACACTTACAGAGTCGCGTGTTACTGCTTTGATTGGATTTGACATGTTGTGTTACTAACGTTCTATCGTGGCGCAGCGACTGACTGACGAACCCAGAAATTTGCTAATGTTTGCGTTGAACATAAAGTGACAGCACTGCCACATGGCTGTGGTTCTGTTCGCTTGTAGCAGAACAGAAAGTGAGCTGTCAGTGACAGAGACAGAGAGCTGTCGGGACATGCCCTTGGACACCGCCACACACTGTTGCTGCCAAAATAGAATAGAATCAATACTTTTTGCATTCTCTGTCTACAACGTGATTTTTATATTTACTGTTAAATTAAAAGGCAGTTATTTAAATACACGTCCACAAAATAACTGTACTGAAAACTTGTTTGACCCTTTGGAGAACTGTTTACACCGCAGACTATATATGGACCTACCCATCAGGTTGCTGTTGAAGATCCGGAAATAGACCGGAAGTTCAAAGCACCTGTGATTGCAAATATGTTGGGAAACAATGGTACTTTTAACATGCTTCAATACCCACTTACACGCTTCATATTTTCTTTAAAAAAAATTGTGATGGAAGAAACTGTATGTCTTACATCTTTCATACCATTATGAGTGGACATGGTTGCTCTTTGTCTTAAGCTATGCATTAACAGTGCAATTGTGTCAGCAAACTGCAGATGTTTATACACAGTAGCAAATTAAGTTATATGGGCCACACTGTACTGACCTTTTTAATAGTTTACTTATTTTTTTAAACACATTTCTGTGTTCTATAAGATGCTGTGGCTGCTGCTTCTGGGTTTACTTTTTTATACATGTAACCATTTACTGTGGACTGCAAATGAACAAAAGATGTGTAGTTCATTTTTTGTAGCTTGTGCAACCAGGGAAACATTTGCCAGGTTAGTACACACGAATAGGAAGTAAATAGTGCAAATGCAGACCATTAAATGGGACACTGGGTTATTAACACATGTCCACAGCCTTAGAGGCATAAAAAGCATGTACAAAGACCAGTTTGTGCAGCAGTTATTGTTAACTTTGAATGAGCTTGTCCTGTGCTTACAGGTGACTCAGTATGAGTCGAGATGGATGGGCAAGAAAGAGAGCAAATGCCAGTGATGACAATGGTTGGGCTGAAAGGGTGAGTGCCACTCAGTGTAAACCACATCTAACAGTAAAATGAAATAAAATGAGAGCTCTTCCATGAGACTAGAGAAAATAAAGTCAAGTCAAAATACCAAACTCTTTTTTGTTCATGTGTATGTGCAGGGCGGCTACATGGCTGCCAAGGTGTCCAAGCTGGACGAGCAGTTTAAACACGATGTGAGAGAAAAACAAAAGCAAGGCAAATGCACCGCCATCTTCAGTGGAGTGGCCATTTATGTCAATGGATACACAGGTAGTAGTGACAACAGCATGTAACATTTGAAGCACTAGGTATGTATTTATCCTGTTAACCTAACATATGGTTCCTTTCTTGTCGATGAACAGAACCAAATGCAGATGAGCTCCGCAGATTGATGTCGCTACACGGCGGCCAGTTCCATGTCTATTACTCCCGCTCCAAGACAACCCACATCATCGCCAACAATTTGCCAAACAGCAAAATACAGGAGCTCAAAGGGGAAAAGATCATGAGACCAGAGTGGATCACAGACAGGTGAGTCCCACAACAATGACACAATATTTTTTAAACTTTGTTATTGATTTGGAAATTCTAGGGAAACCATACTCCCTGTTTTCCTCCTCCCCTAAAACTGGATAGCTGCGTTACTGTTGATTGTGTTTCTCTCTGCTATAATGTAGAATCTTCATTATAGCAGTGAAGCACAGAACGTCTAAATAAACCTGATTAACTTAAAAAAAAAACCCCTCTGTGTTCTCCTCTGCAGTATCAAGGCTGGGCGCCTACTTCCTCACCTACAGTACCAGCTGTATACCAAACATAAAGGTCCACTCTTCCCTGGCCAGACTTTACGCCAAGCCTCAGAAATCCCAGGAACGAGCCATAGACCTCACTCTGTTACCAGTCATGAGAAATTCTCATTCACCAACCAGACTACCATCAACCCTGTCCCAAGACGAGGTCATTACCAATGCAACGTCCAACCTCAGTCCTCCCATCACAGCTCTGCAGCTGTCTTCATTAAACCTCCACCCAGGTGCCAAGCATCCGGTCACAAAGGCCCTTCAAACACCCACCTCTTGTCCTCCGACCCCAACTCCACAAAGACCCCACAGTCTAAACATCATCATAATCTGCAGCACCAGGGAGCCAACCAATCAGAGCCTCAGGCCGACTCCTGTCACAGCAGTGACTCAAGTGGTGGCAGGGAAGTGGCAGTAAAATTGTGAGTATGTGAAATCAATAAAGGAGAGGAATTATCTGTCTGCTGCTTTTACTGCTGTTAAATTAGACATAGATTTCCATTACATTTTACCAGGTAACTGCATTAAGAAATGTGCCTTTATCACCTTGTCTCAGAAATGGAACACTGCAGACCTCGGCTGGTGCGAAGACACGCCATGCAAGAATTAATGAAGCTCGAGAGTGTGGCAAAGGTCTTCACCCACAGGTGCTGAAAGACACCCCGCTGACCAATGGACATTCTTTTCTTGTTAACGGTGCCTTAAAGCCAGAGGACTTGTCGGCTGTTACAGACGAAGCCTCTGACAACGATCTTTTTGAATGCAGCATCAAGAGCCCAGAGGTTAAACCTCCGGTGCATCTGACCAAACCAGATCCTTATGAATTTCCTCACAGTCCTCCAAAGCAATCTAAACATTCCCCCGTCTGTGTGGAGCCGACCAGCTGTAAAGACAAAGAGCAGCCGCTGAAACCTCCACCTTCACACCAGGACGCTGAAAAATCGTCAAGCACTGATTTAATTACCAAACAATTAGAGTTAGCCCCCAGGCATGACTCCCATCGTGACAAGACTTCCCTTGCTCCTCGCCGTCTTTCATATTCTCCGTATCGACCAAACGGAAGTCACCACAAAGATTCTGCCCTGCTCCACTCAAGCAGCCTAACATCAAAATTGCATTCTCCTGTGAATCGGCCTTCTACATCATCGCCCTTATCAAAGTCTCCATCTCAGCTGCTGGTGCAGACGGGTGATTTGATCTCCGAGTATTACTCTCGCTCACGTTTACACCAGATCTCCACGTGGAGAAATGGCTTCTCAGAGTATGTCAATGAACTGCACTGTAAGCGAAAGGCAGCAGGTGGCGCTTCATTTCCAGGGAAGGAGCGCTTAAGGAAATCTTTGGCATCCTACTCTTCAGATTGTAAAGGTATGAGACAAAATTTGGACATTTTGTCCTGTGCAGGACATTTGTCGTTGTTTCCATTGTGAACTGAAGATTACGACCTTGTGTGATGTTTGTGGTTTCTCTTCTGTCTAAATCTTATGTTTAATCATAAAAGCGCCCTTTAAATAGGATTACAAGATAAAAAATGATGTCTTATGTCTTTCTGTGTAAGGTACGTCATCATCGTCATCATCCAAAAGGATGTCTTGTATATTTCATGTGGACATGGACTGTTTCTTTGTCTCTGTGGGGATCAGACATCGACCTGAGCTCAAAGGTAAGTAATTCTTTGGTTTTTTTTTTTATGAATGCGATCTTCTTTGAATCCCACTTTAAGTCAAATTAATTTTATCTCAAGTCTCAGACCATAAAAAATGTGGTTATTTTACAGATTGTGGTGACCGGCTGACCGATATTATCGAGATTAGCATAATTATGTAATATCTATAGAATAAGAATCGTTATTGGTTTTTCCTCCGATAATGAAACCACGATAAAGCAATGCCTAGGTTTCCTCAAATGATGTGTCCCCAAAAAATGTGAGCATAACGGCTGTATATGAAAGTCACTAGATGGCAGCATCGTAGCTCATTTAATTAATCTATTTTAATAATCAGTGGATTGTATGCAGAATACTGGTCCCAGCAACTCATGCAGTGGTTTGTACAGATACATAAATATTACCAGGCCTATATTGGTATTGGTTAATATCGGAATTGGAAATTAATTGTTTGAACAATATCGGCATATCGTTTTTATCATGCTACAGATACAGACCCACAAGAAATTCAATACTGACACTCACTCTGAGATATATAGCATATATATTCACTTCTAAAAAATGTGATATCACACCTTCTTCTGCTCACAGGGTTAACTTTAGGGCAGTACGTTGTTATCACTCAAATCAGAATTTGCATCTGTATCTCCAACAACATTCTCACATTGTGTTCTTCCTATAGGAAAGCCTGTAGCTGTGACTAGTAACCGTGGTCATGGCCGAGTGCCTCCCAGACCTGGTGCCAACCTGCAGGTGGAGCAGCAGTACTACCAGAGGAAGCACAACTCTCCTCAACCAGGTCTGTCTGTCGTTCTCTACCTGCTTCAGTTAATTTTCCTTGTTTTCCTGTTCAAATGTTACTGTTTTTTGCCATCTCTCTCTCTTAGTAAGGAATGATGAGGATGTATATAGAACTCCTTCACAAAAAAGTCCCGATTCTCCCACCAACGGCCTGAACCAGGATGCTGCCATGCTATCAATGGCAGAGATCGCGTCCTGCAGTTATGAGGCGAGGTAAACTATCATCATAAAAGCATATAGACATCCTGGATTCTCAGCAGCACCAAAGACCACATTAGTTACCTTAATGTCTTTTCCTTTTTGCTCACAGACAGGCAGGTGTAAAGAACGGCATGTTTTTTGGCAAAGCTAAACAGGTGTGTCCCTCGCTACAGTCCGTCCCATATGACTTTGAGGCCTACAAAGAGGTGGCTCTGACCATGTATGAGATTCTAGCGAGGTCAGTACAACTTCCTTGTCTTTCTGAAACTCCTTTCTCAACTTTAAACGACTGAACACACAACACGCTTGGATTATTTTTCCTCCTGCAGTTACACACATGACATAGAAGCTCTGAGCTGTGATGAAGTTCTGATCGACGCCTCTGCTCTGCTGGCTGAGTTGGGCATCGATGCAGAAGATCTGGCCAAAGCCATAAGGGCAGACATCAAGGAGAAAACAGGGTGCTGTGCCTCAGTGGGCATGGGTAAGTTGGTTTTGATGCAGGAAGAAGAATGAGAAAACCGTGTCTGTAGTAAGATTTAAACGTCTCGTCTTTTTAGGCTCCAACATTCTGTTGGCTCGACTGGCCACCAGAAAGGCCAAGCCAGATGGACAGTACTTCCTCAGGTCTGAAGAAGTAGATGATTTCATCAGGGACTTACCAGTGACCAGCTTACCAGGTGTGTAAAGCACCACCTGCTGGTCAAATTCATCAACTTACATTCTGACACACTGTTAGTACATGGATATCAAATATAACGGCTCTTCCTTCTAGGTGTGGGCCCAGTTATGGGCAGAAAATTGGCAGCTATGTCTGTGAAGTCGTGCGGAGACCTCCAACAGGTCTCTATGAACCAGCTGCAGAAAAAGTTTGGACCCCGGACAGGGCAGACGCTGTTCCGGTTCTGCAGAGGACTGGATGATCGGCTGGTGCGCTACGAAAAGGAGAGAAAGTCTGTCTCGGCTGACGTGAACTACAACATTCGCTTCAAGACGGTGAGACTAACATTCTGTTCCTTACGTCATCACCTTTACTTTCAGTGTCCTGTGCATTCCAACATTCCCAATCTAACTCCCACCAGAATGATGAGGCAGAGTGTTTCCTGACCAACTTGGCCATGGAGGTTCACAGACGGTTACAGGAGGCAGGACTGCAGGGTCGCAGAGTGACCCTTAGGGTCATGGTTCGTAAACCTGGAGCTCCAGTAGAGTCAGCTAAATATGGTGGACATGGCATATGTGATAACTGGGCCAGGTAAGGAAGGAATGGAAAATTGCAGCTAACCAGTATATTTGATTCATTTTTCTAGTCTTGGATGGAATTTTAAATTCCGACATTTTCTTTGTGAAACTAAACTTCTATAACTTTCCCTTGAAGCAAAGTATTAGGTTAGCCACCCAAAAGTGCTACATTAACAACAAAATTGAAGTTTTGAAGTATAATATTACTACTTACTAATAAATATCTAAAAGTTAGGTTTTTAGCGTTAGCCTCAAATGCCAGTTAATGGTTCAGAGACAATTTGAGTTTTAAAGCACAAAAAACTCATTGGTAGACAGAAATACAACACAAATAGAGAATCTTGATATGATGAAATTGAAATTAATTCAAATATAATTGTAAATGTCTTAAAAAATGTTTGAATTTGTCATGTATTATATTGTTTTCATCGTATTTATCTTTATGTAAAAGCCTCTTTAATTCACTCCTTTAATTCATTTTTACAATGTTATCTAACCCATGCCAGGACTGTGATGCTCGCTCAGTCCACAGACAGCGGTCAGCTGATCGCCTCTGCGGTCATCAAGCTGTTCCACGCTATGAAACTGCCCGTTCAGGACCTGAGAGGAGTTGGAATCCAAGTCCAGCTTCTTGAGGGAAACCAGCCTGTCCGCCATGAAGCCACGGGCAGAGGTGCACGTTCCATCAAAGACATGTTATTAGGCCAGAGACCAGGTGTCCAAACCCACAACAGAGGTTCGACTGAAGCTCTTTGCTTCTCAGTTGTTAAATCATTTCTACTGTCACATCAGTCATTGTTAAGATCTCTGTTACATGTCCTGCAGACATCAGCACAAACCACGACAAAACGATAACAACCACACTACCATCGTCCTCCACACCTGTACATCCACGCTCACCTGAGCCGGTGCCAGGAACAAGCAAAGCACAGGAAACACCGAAACTACCCAGGAAAAATCTCAACCTCAGTATAGAAGTCCCTTCTCCTTCCCAGGTACGGGTCTGAATGATGTTAAGAGGTCGAACCAATCAGCAACAGAGTTTCAACAAAGCATTTTATATCATCTCCAAGGTGGATCGTTCTGTGTTGGAGGCTCTGCCCCCAGAGCTGAGAGAGCAGGTGGAACAATCGTGGATGCACCGAGAAGGGAGACCAAATGGCCTTCATTCATCCAGTCCACAGAGCAACGATCTTCCTCCTCCTCCTCCTCCATGTGTCTCTCACAATCCTGGTCCCTCCTCATCTTGTTATCCCACTCCATCTGGACCTTCTCTGGACCGTCCACCTGCAGGAACATTGGTTTTACAGATCCCAAACCAGCCGGACGGTCTAGGCATTGTACTGGAACTACCACACCTCTCCCAGGTTGGACTCCTTTCACGTGTGTCTGTGTATATATGTTTAAGTCTCCTTTAATGTTCCCTGCCACAGACACTCAGGTTCACTTGTTGACTT